TCGTGGCCGTTCTGCCCGCAAGAAATGCCCTAATATAGTTGTACGTGCGAAGCCCCAAGTTTAGGGTATTGACCTGATTTAGAATGGTGCTATGCGTGACAGAGTCAAAAGCCTTCTTCAGATCAAGACCAAGTATGCCCTTAGTGGAGCGTCCCGTACTGTCTATGATGTGATGCTTAAGCTGCAACATGGCATCCTGCGTTGAAAGATGCCTGCGGAAGCCAATCATGGTGTGTGGGAAAAAATCATTGTCTTCGAGGTAATTTGTCAGTCTAGCCAGGAAAGCGTGTTCCATCAATTTGCCTATACAAGATGTTAAGGAGATGGGCCTAAGATTGTTAGTATTCAGTGGTTTGCCTGGTTTCGGAATCAGAATCACCTTGGCCGTTTTCCAATGCGGGGGCAAGATTCCGGTCTTCCAGCAGTTATTAATATAGTCTGTGATATGCGTGATCGACTCATCGTCCAAATTGCGTATCATCTTATTCGTGATGTTATCCGGACCTGGTGCAGATTTGGTGTTAAGTTTTTGTAGGGCGGCACGGATATCCGCTTCGGTGAATTCTTCGTCTAGAGTAGTGTTGATCTGGCCCGTATAATCTGGATGCTGCTGAGTAGGAGCCTGAGAGATATATTTGAGCTCTACCTCCCTAAGAAACTCCTCCTCGGTGCCCTTGTAAGCATGTATTAGTTTGTTGATGGTTTGTTGTTGGGCGGTTTTGCTGTCTTCTGGGTCGAGCAGGAACCGTAGAAAATGCCAAGTTTTACTAAGACTTAGTTGCCTGTCCATCGCATCGCAGGTTTCATCCCAGTGTTGCCGGCTTAGCTGTGTTGCATACATCTCTATCTCTGTGTTGAGGAGTGCTATGCGTTTCCTGAGGTTTCTGTTGTGTTTCTGCGTCTTCCATCTCTTTTGGAGCGATTGCTTTGCCTCCCACATGTGGAGGAGCCGGCTATCAATCTCTTCGAGGTGTTCCTCGGGAGGTACGATTCGGGTGGCATTATTAATATCCTGTTTAAGCGTGTGTATCCAGTCCTCTATGTCGCTGATGGGTTGGACCTGGTTCTCACGTGATTTGCGGAACTGGGTCCGGTCTACCAACTTTAGCTCTTTTCCCGTGAATTTACGTGGGCCACCTTGAACATGTACCTCGATGATGTAGTGGTCGCTACCCAAGTCCTCTAGGGTATTTTTCCAGGTGGCTGCTGATGTGTTAATTTACGTGGGCCACCTTGAACATGTACCTCGATGATGTAGTGGTCGCTACCAAAGTCCTCTAGGGTATTTTTCCAGGTGGCTGCTGATGTGTTTCTCGTGAACGTCAGATCAGGCGTTGTGTCTTTACTGGAGCTAGTGCCCGCACGTGTGGGTGTGCTAGGGTTGGTGATGAGAGTTAATCCCTCTTGCTGCGAGTCAAACCAGAGGGCCCTACCTTTAGGAAACACATAAGAGTATCCCCAGGCAGTGTGTGGTGCGTTGAAGTCCCCCGCTATTAAGATGGGATTTTGGCCAGCGATGTTGAGGGCGCGTTTAAAGAGTGTGAGAAATCTGTGCTTTTTTTGTTTAAGGTTGCTGTATATGTTTAGTATAAAAAGACTTTCCTGTGTCTTGCGTTGCGGAACGAGTTCAATAAATATATTGTCTATAATGGTAATTTCCGTGTCGTGTTGCGTGAACGTAAGGTTTCGTCTAACTAGGGTGGTAAAGACAGTCATCTCCCCGCTGACATGTCCGATCGAGCGGTAGCCTGCCAATTTAGCGAGACAATGTGTGTCCTGCAATAAAATAATATCGGGCTTAACTTTCCCCTTAAGGTATTGGTTAAGATTTGCTTGCTTATTCGCGTAGCTTCTACAATTCCATTGCCAAATTGTGTAGGCGTGATTTCTAGCCATGATGTGATGCAGGGGGTAGGAATGTCGCCGGCTGTATCACACTGAATGCCGACGAGGAAGGTTGCTTTACATTCGCTGTGGGGTCCAGTCCGCTAGGTGGCAGAGGGGTGATTCTAGCCTCCACAGCGATGAGTCGCTGTTGTAGGTGTTCGTTTTGTTGCTGGGTAATTTTAGCTATAGTCTCTACGCGGTCAGTAAGGACTGAGATCAGTCGGGATGCGTTGCTCATCCACTCATTTAATTCTTTGACTGATTGCTGAACTTCCTTCAGGACTTTATTCTCGGGCGTTACGCGTGCGGGTTTGTATTCATTGGCCTGGGTTTCGGCTCTGCGCTTGGGAGGTGGTGGTGTTGTACCTTCCTCCAATTTTTCACTGGGTGTAACAGCTGAGAGCGGTGGCACTACTGGTGGAGCATGTTTTGTTGTTTTATAGTGGTGTAACTCCTCCTTGAGGGTCCTGTTTTCCTCTCCTAAAGCTGTCATTTTCTGGTTACATTGTGCTAACATCTGCTTTAGCTGTGCTATTTCAGCCTCTAATTTATCAAGTTTGCCTTGAGAAGCGGCCTCCTCAGACCCCGAGCGTGCCCCCTTGACTACGTCTACCCAGCCCACCTTGAAGGTTGCGCCAGGTCCAGGTGTACGGCTCCGAGATGTTGACTGCGACCGGGAGCGGCGCCGGGAGCGGCGCCGGGAGCGGGGCCGGGAGCGGGGCCGGGAGCGAGACCGCGACCGAGATCTCGACCGAGATCTCGACCAGGCTTTCTTTCCAGGCTTCCGGGTAGGGGTAGTGTCCCGCTGCTCGAGGCTGTTGTCGACAGGCGTTGGCTTCGTCGGGTAGTCTTCATATCGTTGTTGTTGTCGCTCCCATCGCCGGCGTTTCACCAGGTACGGCGTCTTGTAACGTGCCCTGCACGCCTTCTCGGCCGTCTGGTGGTCGCCGCCGCACAGTTGACAAGTGGGCTGGCATTGGTGATCTTGCGGGGGGTTGGTCGTACCACAGCCACGGCACACATGGTCTTTCGGGTTTGGGCATACATCTGCTCGGTGCCCCAGGCGACCGCATTGGTAACACGTCTCTATCTGTTTGCGGTAAAGGGAGCACTTCAACATTGCCCCACCGTATCGAACGTATGTTGGCACGCGAAGACCAGCGAACAGTACGATCACCGTCGTTGTGTTGCTGAGGCGTTTTGCAGCGATGGCTGTAGGGTTCTTTGTTGTAATCACATTAGCTGTAATATCTCGGGCAGTATCATCCAACGGGATATCACGTATCACGCCTTTCGACGTACCGTCTGGTGCTGCTTCATATGCGCTGGTATCGTACGTCTTGTTGCCGACCACAATGCGAGAGATTTTCTGATATCTATCAGCATGCGCCTCGATGGGTGTGCTCACAACGATGATATTTTGCTGGAAATTTGGGCATATTGTGTCCTCATCTTGGGCGTCTCTCGGAATTTCAGCGGCGTGGTAAATGCAAGTCGCCAGTCGGGCGGCTCCATAATCGGTGAGTCGAAGGCCGCCTTTAGGTCGGATGATGATCTTGTAGTCACCTCGGGGCAGTGGAGGCATCCGGCTTAATCTTGTTATTTGACTCAGGCATTGCTCACGACGTTTCCTGGTGTTATTCCCTCGTTGAGAATCCGCACCGGGTTCTAGTGATTGCCCGCGGGTCGACTTCTTTGATCCTACGGTGCTCCATCCTGTACTTTCTTCGAATTCTTCACGAGAAATGGGTTCTCCCTCCACAGTGACCTCCATTTCTTCTCAAAAAGTCGGACGCGTCAAACGCGCCGACCGGCGTTTCTTGGTGCCCGCAGAGCTAGGCCGGCCTAGGCAGCAGCGTCTCTGGCAGCTGCGCTGCCGGTGGCTTGGCAGGCGTTAGGCCTATCTCTCTCGCTAGCGTGGTTGACAAAAATGCGTCGGTAAAGGTGTCAAAATTCAAGTCCCCACCTGGAACTTGGTGCTGGGCGATTCCTGATGACAAGCTGAATACAAGGGTACCAAAGTCTTGTGGGATTCTAGGTGACTTCCGCTGCAAAACATTCGTTGAAACCGGAGCCGAAACGACGCGCGTCCACTCGCTCCGACGAGAGCAGCGTCTCCCCTAGGGGTTAGCTAAATTTATTTTAGAGGCGAAGCACTTCAGGGTCTCAGCGTGCCGATGCACGTCCTCCGTCGTCATCTGCTGCTGTTCTCGTTACTGTTGATTAGATTCAGTGTAAGAGAGACCACCTTTTCTTGCTAAAAGAGTTCGCTGTCCCTCGATATTGGCTCAGCTCAATGCTCGTCGCGTGGCGAAAGCCTGAGAGCGAACGATGCGCGTGCACTATGGAAACGCTTTCCCCCCCGCGAGAGGCGACATAGTGCACACACTTTAACCGGCCACCTCGTATATAGACACTGAATCTTGACCTGCAACGCAGTGCCGGAGGGAGATTTTTATCGTGTGTAGTTAAACTACAAATATTCACAACGTGCGCGTTAACTGAAAGTTCACAGCATTCTTCGTCTTTCCTCTAGTTTCTTGTTAGTTAAGGTTAAATCACCTTCCCTACATGCTTTGTCCTTCGCTAGTTTCTTTGGTTGCGCTCTGCTCGCGCGGCAGATCGACTCGTCGCGGCGGCTGCGTGGACTGTTTCTGTCAGTGGGCGCGGCTGAAGATCAACATTGTGCAATAAGCTAGGTGTGGAGTTTGTTTTTTCTTTGAGGTGCTCTGCTTTGTAGAAAACTAAAAATTACCACAACAATGACGATGGACTAACTGATTCTGCAGAATGCAATCCTTACAGTTTGATATTTTACCAATTTACATTGCTTTGCAGCAACAAATATTTTTTCTACCACGGCCGACAAATTCTTTTTCGATATCTGGATCTTCAGCAATACAACTTACAAACTTACGATCAGTGAAAAGCACATTGTTTCGCATGCGGCAATTCCTTATAGGCTGTATTAACTTTCCAGCATTTTCATATTAGAATCGTTGACGTGGCACAAAGCTATACAAGAAGGTCAAGCGTGTTTGACATTTAATGCATAAAGACAAAAAAAACTTGAACTTCGAGAAGAAACTTTCTTAGATGAGAGCTACACTCACCTCTTCAAATTTTTGAACACGTCGTGGTAACCTGTGGCTGAAATTGCAAAAAAAAAAATTGGCAGGTGGAGTCAAATATGAGATAAATGCGTTTTGGTATTGACTGATAGATAAAAAAAACAGGTTTTGACTTACCTGAAGAGGAACCAATCGTACGCCGCAGTGAGGTAAGCCATTTCTAATGCTGATAGATTTTGGTGGATTGCGTTGTCGGCCCACAGAGATAGGCGCAGCAATGAGACGAACAAGGCCGTACGATCCCAGCCCGAGATGCAGTGCACTAGAATGCTCGAGTCACCTAGAAAAAAGAATGGAAATTAGTGTTCAGTAAAAACTGGCATGTGCGTATTAAACATCTTTTCGGTTTCGTTTGCTCTGCTCGCTACTTAGCACGTTGAAGTGTCACTTGCACCGTGGAGAAGGTCACCCAAGTTGCACAATCTGACACCCGGGAGCTTTTACGTGCGAAACGGGTACGGCGGCCGGGCGCCGCGTCTGAGCCTGAATGTAACAATAGCAGGCGGCGCACGGATGAACGCACTGCCGAACCTTGTCTGTGCAGTGCGTGAATAAATGTGGTCAAAACATAGACACCACACTCACAGTGCGGCTACATGCGACTAGATGCGGCTAGATGCACTCAGTGCATCTAGCCGCATTCTCTTGAGCTTGCTTTCTTCTCAGTGAGCTATCACTCGCTGTTCTCACTCAGACGAAATCATTTCGCCAACGGTATCGTGCTGGCTCAGAATGTTGAGTCCCGTTTCGTTGGTTTCGCATCTTCACGACACGCGTGCTGTGCAGCACACGTGTTTTTCGAGCCGAAGAGAGAGATGCGCCTTCTATTTCGCTAATCACATGTAAACAAGAAAGGATATGCCCAGTGAATATGGCCGACTTTCGGCTTCACCATGGCTTCACAGAGAGTGACGTCGGAGACTGCTCAGCTACTTTTCTTCGTGCATGCTTAGCAGGGAAACGTCCACTGTGCCATTGTTCATAATCCTACGTAGAAGAGTGGCACCACTACACATCATTTGGACATTATGAGAGATTTGTTGACGCTGTGGCTGATGAATCATGAATGAGCCCATTGTAATAGGTTGCACTTGCGATGCATGAACGAACACAATTCACACTGTTTGACAGCTGGCTGTTTTTTACTCTTCTAAGACACTATATTACGCGTTTTAACGAGATTTATTTCCTGACATAAAGGCTGTACAGGGTCTGCGGGCAAAAGCATTTTAAGCACCGGTGCGTCTATGTGATTAAATATTGGACTGTATGCAGATGGTCCGAGTTAGAATTCCGCCCTGAATTTTCTTATTTTTATTTTTCATTTTTATTTTGTGTAATTTTGGTTAAGGACACCGACGCCAGCGGACAAACACGGTGTCTAAAACAGCTCTTCTGATCTCATATCAAGTTTGGCTGTGAATGAAATCAGGACTTTGCTTCTATAGCTCTAATGCAGTTATCAATGCGTCTGAGTCGAGTGAATAAGGCTTTAAGATTTCATAATTTTGCCTGATTGCGCACATGTTTAGATGACTAGTTATAATTTTGAAAGGAGATAACATAGTAACAAGGTACAGAGAACAAAAAGAACATGTGTGAAATTCAGAAAGGTAGTAATATTACGACGCATAAAAACGCTGCCGCGAAATTCGGAGATCATGGTGGATTGTATAAAATGGCACAAATACAGAGATAAAATCTAATAACGACCAATGTGTTTACCATCCACCAGAAACATTAACTAAGTATGTGAAATGGCAGTCCTAAGTGTGCTTGAAGAATGCGCTAGCCCGATATAAACTGTAGGGGGGGGGGGAGGTGGAGTGAGGGGTCATGTTTGCAAAATTGGGGCAAATGCTGGCAGGTATGTTGAAAGCAAACAAAATTTGTCGTCTCTTATGAGGTATTATGAACGTGTTGTGTACGAAGCTCTAAATACACACGTTCGTTCTAAAAGATAAGTCGCACACAGGCTGCCCTCTTTACGACGTCTGTCACTGATGCAAGCAAAATGACCCGCTACGTAAACGCTAGATTAAAGCAGCACCTTTTCTCACTGAAGAGTACAGGTGCTTTCTGTTTAATTCACATTGCAGAAAGTGCGAGTTCGAACCACTATCAGAAAAAACAAAAGCATTTTCTGTTGTAAAGAGGAATGGTGTGTATTGAAGATTACCGAAGCTTTCTATATTGTTGGGGCAGTGAAAATTAAGCAGTCTCTGCCCTTTCGCGAAAGAATTTGAGATTACGGAATGAGAGTTCATCGTGGGAAATTTTTCAAAGGAAGTAAAGGAACATTCTTGCTCAGAGTGCAATTTATTTTAACGCTAAGTTCCCATCGGACGTTATAAGTTGAGTCTCTTAGGCCTAGCTTTTCATTTCTGCTACCAAAGTAATATTTATTGCAGCTTTGTCGTTGCTGTATCAATTCAACTTAGTGTAGCAGTAAACGCAGTTGTGAACCACCAATCATGTCATTTCGTTTTTCTCTTTCTGTCGCCTTTCTATGCGAGGCAGCTTGTCGAGTATGCATGACAGACAGCTCACTCAACAGGCAGCTCACTCATCTTTCTCTTCCTCATGATTTAACCCCTCTCAAAAAAGTTTTTTTGATCTGTGCATGATGCAGCTTGTTGGACAATGTGCCAATTATGACAAAACTTTAGTGATACTTGGCGGAATGTATGTTCGAAATGTGGCTATTACATTTGATTGCCGTCCTGCTGAATTTTTTTGCAGCATGCAACAGTTACCAGAGTAAGCTTAAAAATAAAGTGGCTATTTTATGCTATTCAATGTCGCTCAGCGAATGACTAAGTATAACCATTTGTACTTATAAATGGTGATTCAAAATAAATTCCGACTAACCTGCACTCTTTAGCGTCCACAGTCACAAAGTGGGGCTATGAGAAGCACGCTATAGCATGTGGCTCCCAGTTTGTTAACAGAGATATGTGGGGTTCAACGTCCCAAAACCACCATATGATGGGAAACGCTGTAGTGGAGGGCTCCGGAAATTTCAAGCACCTGGGGTTCTTTAGAGTGCACCCAAATCTGAGCACACGGTCCTACAACATTTCCGCCTCCATAGGAAATGCAGCCGCCGCAGCCGGGATTTCATCCCGCGAGCTGCGCGTCAGCAGCCGAGTACCTTAGCCACTAGACCACCACGGTGGGGCGACAAGATCTTGAAGCGATGGAAGCCTGACACCAACCGTTGTTCGTAGATCTATGAGGGACGCGAATGCTCGGTTTTAGCACTAGTTTGTCGCTGTAGTTTTGACATCCATGTATCTGACTGTCTGAGGTTTACCTTAAAACTCTGTGCTCTGAGAGTCAGCGTAGAGACAATCTAGCATCACTTAGCTATAGCTAATTAAAACCTAGAAACAACCTACAATCTGCATCACCTAGCTAAGGCCTATCAACAATCGATTCAACAAGCAACCAGATTCGACTTCAGAATCACCCAGTTTCACAGTTTCAAGCCTCACGCTACTTGTGGGAGCTTCGTCATGCTTTATTACCAGGTCATTCTTATCTGATTGAACACAAATGCAACCACATGAGTGCGCTTTTTTCTTTCTTTTCTTTGATATTAACTGTCAAGGGAACGTACCTCCTGTAAAGTCGACTACCAAACCAAAAACTTTCGGATAGCGACGGAAAGCTGCAGCTACAATGCAGCTGAGTCATATCGACATTTGTTCAACAGCCAGCCAGAAGTTCGCGGTTTCATACATTATTTAGCAACAACCGCTACTGATACCCTGTATGCTATATAATAATTAGGGACACAGGCACGTACAATAGGTAAACTAATTACTCTGATTTTACGCACTAAAATCACTAATTTGTAGTAAGGCATGACATTGTGGATGTCTCCAGAATAGTTCTGTCCACTGGCAGTATGTCAGCATCCTTTGATAATTAGGTGAACGGGGCTTTTTTGTTGCATGCGAATGCTGTGGACAGGAATCGAACCCACGTCCCCATGCTTAACTGAATTCTGCCTTAGCGAGTAAGCTTTCGTGGGGGGAGCAAAGTAGTTAAGGACCAATAAACGCTAATGTGTTTTTTCCTATACTTCCTGCTCCACCCTGATTCAGCTAATGTTTTGGAATACATTCACTAAAGGGGCACCAAGTACAGATGTGTGTCCCTCTCGCTCAATGCCAAGGAGTCGCTTGTTTGTCATCTGGTCACAGTAAAAGCAGCCCCCGCTCTTGTTTAGCAAGCTATAGGTAATATATGAAATCCATGAGCACTGGCAAAGCACTGTATGCCCTTACACAGGAGCGGCACTCTTGAGTTACATCAATATGTTTACCCCAGTAGCTGCACAGGCACTAGCGCACCCCACCACGTTCAATGAATGACTACGGCGTTTTACGGCTGAGTTTTGTGGTGACTAGATTCGGCAAGCAGTGGTTGAACGCCGACTGAGGGCATATGCGAAAACGTTCGAGACCTAATTCATATAAAAAAATGGAGCAGCCAGGTCAGGCCCCCTTATGCATGCTTAGCCTCAAAATTTCTTTGGCACAAAACCAAGAAGTTTATCTTGAAGCTATTCGATACAACGACTTACAAGTGTTTGGGTAACAATAACGGCAAAAAATCTATTTAGCTAATTCGGAGGGCGATTTGCAAAAGTGTTAATGGGGATGCATAGATCTACTGCAGTGTGATGGTTCTTGCAACAATGGTCAAACAAGGAACTTAGTGACCAACACTGCTGCGATAAATAAAATAATTCCTCCAAATATCGGGTAGAAAACTAAGCCAGTTCCACGTCTGTGAAAAATCGACAATCAAGGGCCTGGAAAGCAAACGCCACCACTTGGTGAATGCTGATTCAAGTTATCTCCTAATCATTCTTCTATCTCTTTATAGATTTTTATTATTCTCGAAGAACTTCTTGAGCTAGTTGGTAGAACATTTCAGAAAACTAGACTACCAATACCACACATTCTCGCACACACACCCAAGCATTAAACACGTACAGTGTTCACTTCCGACAGATTCCTTCTTAGCACGAAGGCTTGAATATATACACGAGGAACATGCGTGCATTACTATCATAGAAGGCCAACAACATACATTATCAAGAGATACAGTTCATGCGCTGACAGCCTAGCTCCGATAAACTGGAATTCACTTGAAAACAAAGATAGCGAAGAGGCACGCAGGAAGTGATCCCTATAATTTTCTAACAAATGCTAACCCTGCTTGTGCGGTTTTTTCTTGCGCTTCTGCGTCGAATATTTGTCTGCATAGTTTTTTAGAAAAAGATTCTAGGCACAAGCGCAAGAAGAACTGCACGTGAAGTGTTAGAGGGTTTCGTAGAAAAAAAATAAGGATCACTGTGTAATTGCCCCTTTGCTATCTTTGTTTTCAAATTAATTTCAATTTATCGGTTCCAGGCTGAGAGCATAAACTGTATCTCTCTATAGTGTATGCTGTTGGCCTTCTGTGATGTTATTGCGCGCATGTGCCCAGTGTATATCTGCGGCAAAGCTCCCCTTCGTCTAACTTTGTCCTCCGTGTGGCATAACCAAGAAAAGAAGAGACGAGAAAATGGGAAGGCAGTATACCTAGAACATTATATTAGACAGTGATGTCTCATAGAAGTACATACAAACTGTAGTTGACTAAGAATATTCTAGATGGCGCTGTACGAATACTCCCCGATTGGCTGCTGCGTGGGTTGTGCCTGGGCTTGCGATGAAGGAGCGCCTCCTTTAGTCTCCTGGATAGTTGCCGTACGTGGTGGATTGTTGGTGGGGCATGGACGAAGCAGTACAGTGGGCGCGTTGAAGACGCATGCGCTCGACTTCCTTGGCTCACGTATAGTTGGCGTTACCCGCGCGCATTCTCCACTCGAATGCGATCGGACGCATGCACGGGTGGACGGACGGACGGACGGGCGGACATATGGACGGACGGGCGGACATGTGGACGGACGGACGGGCGGACATATGGACGGACGGATGGACATATGAACGAACGTACGAATGGACGGACGGATGGAATGACGCTTTGCCCCACTTATCATTTACTCCATGAATTTCCCGTGATTTTTATTCAAGCCTTCATGCAATGCATAAATCAGATTTGTTGGAAGTGAGTGCTGTGCGTGTTTGATGCCTGGGTGTGTTTCCATGAGTGGTTCGTGTGTTCGCGCTCAAACGAGTTTTTCTAAATGTTCATTTTTGCGCCTTTCTTTAACTCTTACCATACGGTCATCTATTTTTTCCCTCCTCGTAACCCCCACATTACGGATCATCCTCTTTTCTTTTCCCCCACTTAATTTGGTGTGCTGTACAGGCTTACACGACGACTTCCTTTTTAACTTCCTCACTTTTGCTCCCCTTTACCCCCCTCTTTGCCAAACTATACTATTCAAAGATATGCCATGCTTAACCCTCTCTCTTCTTTCCTTCCTCCTCATCTTCACATACCACCCCATGCTCAAGCTTCCCACGCCCTGGCTATAATAAACATGACCCACTGTCTGTGGCGAAGGAGCTCTACTATAGAAGGTCTTGCATTTACCTTCTTTTTCGTCCCTCAAACATGCGCCTTATTTTTCCTCACTTCTACTTTGCTTTCTCTTCTTTTTGATCTACTCTAATTTGCACAGCTATGCTATGCTCCGTACGTACCCCTGCTTTTTACAGGGCATACCCGACAAGTTATGTCTACGACACTGGCCTTACTCCAAGCGTAAAAACGTTACGCTGTTTAAAACGCGATGGCCGACTCGCAGGAAGAAAAAGGGGCGGGGGTGATCACGCCACTAAGTGAAATGGCAACGGCCCTTAAAAGCTAAAATGTCGAAATGCTACGTGTTTTATTGAAGGTTGCAATTGTAATCTAAAGCAGAGAAACGCAATCACATGCTTATTGCGGCCCAAGTGAAGTCCCACGTTTTGCGCTAGACACAGAACTAAGGCGCTGTTTTACTCGCATTGTTATGCGAGTAAAACATTATATGTTAGTAAAACATGTGTTAGTAAAAGATTTTACTAACATTATGTTAGTAAAACGTTGTTGTGCTATACAAATGTACTTCAAGGGAACACATTTGTATACCACAACATAACGCATGCCGCAAAACTCTTGAGGTACAATGCTTGACAGTGTGAAACGAACTGCCACTGACATTTCAAAAACATAAAAGATCACATTACCATCGATGACAACTTTCAGCAAGAACTTCAGATAGTTTTTGGTCAGCTCTACCAGGTCCCAACGCTGAAAAGAAAACCAGAAGAGCAATGATAATCTCTTTCAGAAATATCACATCGGTTTATTGAATAATTACAGTAAAATTTACACCGCAAAATTTTTATCAGCTACACAAGGAAGCTTTTAAAGATTCTAGCAAATTTTCACTACTTCGGTAATCGCACGTGCAGGATACCACGTCCGCAAAAAAAAAATGGGGGGGGGGGGGGGTAGCTTGAAGCTTCGCCTTTAAGGGTTGAACTCGATAGCGATATTCTGTCTCTAGTGCACAATTCTGCCACAAAGTAAATCGGTTTAATTGTATGCGGTTACTCGATAAGTTTCGATTGGGGATTACTACAATGTAGTTGATAAAGTTGAGAGTGGCTTGTGTCAGTGAATTTACGCAGACGACCACGTTCTGTTAAATGAGTAACATGCTTTAAAGCATCTACACTTATACGCATGAAATGTTTTTGAACTTGCTATGCACACACTACGTGATCCTAAGAGAATACGTGCACTAACGCGTTTGCCTTTTTGCATGGGTGGCTGGCTTTCAACAACGAAGTGGTTATGACAATCGTGTTCCGACAACCAATGGCAATGTACGCTTGTACCACGCAGCATTCCTACAATATTACAAGCTGTATTGTGAAGCCTGTATAAAGGAAGCGCGTGTTTCGAAAGTATGAATGAGATTTTCTATACATTTCTGAACAGAGGCAGTTATTTTCACTGTATTTTTGAGCAGGTGCGTGGCTGTTCGGAACCACGCATACGGGCGCAGTTCGATACCCACTCGGATACGGAAATTTTCATTATTTCCTTTTTTTCTCAATTTTGTGATCACGGACAAGATGTTTTGCTTCCAACTAATGACTGACGCCGGAATTTCAGAGAAAGGACCTCTTTATCGCTGTCGCGTTAAACAGTAATAGATCATTGCTAAAATAGCTGATATTTTGCCTACTGCTATTAATCCAAAGCCTTCCCTCAACTGAATGAACTTTCGCAGAAATTTCATTTCATTTCATTTCATTTATTTACTCTCAAGGCCGAAGCATTACAGAGAGGACCGGGTATACATCGTACAGAAAATCAGGAAATACAGCAAATCAAAATTATATGCGCACAATGGCGGTCTGAAAACCATAAAAGAAAAGAAAGACTGCGTGATGTGAAGAAGAGGCAGGGTGGTTGTAACAACAATGTTCAACATGGTTGCGTCTTCGAATGACATGCGCACACAAAAAAACTAACAAGAGAAAACACAGCGTGACTTAAGTGGCGAATTTACGCGAAATGGTTAGAGAGGGCGTTTTTAAACAAAGTGAGGTCAGTGATAGCAGCGATAGGGGTGGGAAGGTGGTTCCACTCATTTGCAGTTTTCGGGATGAATGATTCAAAATATAAATTCGTGCGGGCGCTAGGAACGCCCACCTTAAACTGATGATCGTTGCGTGAGGAAACGTACGATGGGGGCTGGAAAAGAGTGTTGCTAAAAGACGGAATGCAATGAAAGATCTTATGGAACAGGCAAAGGCGAGATATTTTACGCCGCAGTGAGAGAGTGGGTAAGTGAAGATTGGCTTTCATCGAGGTAACACTGGACGTGCGATGGTAGTTTGACATGACAAAACGTGCCGAGCGATTTTGAACCGCCTCGATGCTGTCAGCGAGGTAATTGGTATGTGGATCCCAGACTGATGACGCGTACTCGAGTTTGGGTCGGACTAATGTTTGATAAAGCAGAAGTTTAAGGTTAGTCGGAGCCAAAGAAAGGTTTCTGCGCAGATAACCTAACGTGCGATTCGCATTGTTTGTAATATAATCGACATGCGTGTTCCAAGAAAGATTTTTAGAAATATACACCCCAAGGTACTTGTAAGACGAAACCAGATCGAGATTGCTGTGGTTAAGTGTGTAGTCGCACGGTACATTATGAGAAATACAACGGGAAATTCGCATAGCCTTGCATTTAGTAATGTTTAGCTTCATTAATCATGCGTCGCACCATGATGAAATGTGATCCAGGTCTGTTTGAAGGGCAAGATTATCTGCGTTAGTCTGGATTTCACGGTAAATTACACAGGGATCGGCAAATAATTTGATGGATGATGAAATGTCTTTAGGTAAGTCGTTGATGTAGATAAGAAATAGTAGGGGACCAAGAACTGAACCTTGCGGAACGCCGGACGTTACAGGGCTAGTCGGGGAACAATGGTCGTTAGCAGTTACAAACTGGGTGCGGTTAGATAAGAAACATTCAATCCACTTTAAGACGTTAGCATCAATATTTAGCGCATTTAGTTTCAGAAGAAGTAACTTGTGGCAGACGGTATCAAAGGCTTTTGAAAAATCTAGGAAGACACAATCAAGAGTAGATGAACGATCAGCAGCAGAGAATAAATCGTTAGTGAAGGCCAGAAGCTGTGTCTCACATGAATAATATTTCCTAAACCCGTGTTGGTGAATGCTAAAGAAGGCGTTACTTTCAAGATAACTCACGACGTGGGTGTAAATTACATGTTCGAGAAGTTTGCATGGTACACTGGTTAGTGAAATGGGGCGATAATTCCCGGGACTATGAGCGTCTCCTGATTTAAACAAGGGAGCCACCTTCCCCACCTTCCAGTCCTCTGCGAGAACACCTTCTTCTAATGACTGATCAAAAAGTCTCGACAGAATAATTGAGGAATGAACGTCAGTGTTTTTCAAAAATTTAGAAGAAATGCCATCGACGCCTGGTGACGACGAAATTTTTAAATTTTGGATCAACTTGCGTATGCCGGCCCGGTCAACGTGTACAGAATTCATCACAATGAAATCGCAAGCTTGAACACCTGGAAGGACGGCAGGAGTAGTGTTCGTAAAGAATGAAGAAAATGCATGGTTAAGGGTGATACAAACGTTTTTACTGGAAATCACTTTGTCCGTGTCAGTGGTAAGTTCAATCTGTTTCCTATCGCCCCCATTAACGACCTGCCAAAATTTGTGGGGATTGTTTTGCAGAATTAACGGTAGCGTTTGCTGAAGAAAGGACTCCTTTGCCGCGGATAAAGCACGGCTGTATTCATCGGCTACCTTTTTGTAAACCTCCCATCTTTCAGATAAATTAGAACGCTTGGCTTGACGGTAAACGCGCTTCTTTTTATTGGACAGGCGTTTCAATGTTGGCGTGAACCACGGTGATTGACTGTTACATGCGATTTCGCGTAGTGCTATGTACTTGTTAACGAGTTCGGCAACTTTATTTTTAAACAGCATCCAGTTATCGTTGACAGATCTTTGGTTGAAGTCTTATAGAAAAACGGAGGTGAAATGTTCAAGTTCGGTATTAATGGTTCCATAATCAGCTCTACTGTAGTCCCTGAATCGCTTTTTACTTTTTTGTTTACGGGGCGATGCGCAGGGGAGGTTGAAAACGATTGCTTCGTGATCACTGAGGCCTGGCAAAACAGAAAGCGATTGCACGAGATCGGGGTGAGAAGTCAGAACTGAGTCTAAAGTTGAAGCACTTGAATGTGTAATGCGAGTTGGGCACATAACCAGCTGCGTTAAATTGAACTGCGCGCATGTGTTAAGGAAGCAGGCGCTTTCAGAGGAGCCAGTGCCAGGCGATAAATGGGAGTTGTTCCACGAAATATCAGGAAAGTTAAAATCACCTTGGATTAAAATTGGTGTGGCAGGGAACCTCACATGCAAGTCACTTAAGACGTCATAAAAATCATTGGAAAAACCAGATGGATGGCGCATTCGGAGGGCGATAACAGGCACAAACAATGACATCTTTGTGAATTATGCGGATTCGAACGCACACCAATTCAAGGGAACATACAATGGGAATTTTAAAAGACATGAATTCCTCTGAAACAGCGATCAAGACACCGCCACCAGAACGCGAGCCACGGTCACACCTAAAAAAGGAAAATTTTTTGTCGCACTGCAGGATCTCACGGTTTTCAACTTTTGACGACAGCCAGGTTTCGGTCAAAACTATCACATCAGAAAGGCACGTGTTTACTAACGAAGACAAGGAGGAGGAGGAATAACTGAGGAAGGACAGGGAGATTAGCCAGTTCTCAGACCGGCTGGCTACCCTGTACTGGGGAAGGGGGTAAGGGGGATAAAAGATGAGAGAAAAGAGACGTTGTAAAAAAAGAGAGAGAAGGTCATCAGACGATCCACGACGCTGTTTACAGGCTGTCTCTAAGACCACTTGCCCGCAGAAAGCGCAACAACGCTCTCAATGCCTTGCGTGCAGAGGACGGTCTCGGCCAGTGTCCTAATACCCTTTCTTCCGACAATTGGTGATTGTCTATTCTATCTAAAGCTTTTGACAGTTCTTTTCTTGGCACGCTGAAGCGGAGACACTCGCAGAGAAGATGGGAGAAAGTCTCTGCGCAGCCACAGTTGTCACATGTCGGGCTTCTGGCCATTCCGATTCGAAACGAATAAGCATTTGTAAAGGCCACCCCAATCCACAGACGGCACAAAAGTGTCTCCTCTGCTCTGGTTATTCCTGATGGAAGACGGAGCTGTAGGTGTGGGTCCATATTATGAAGGCGGACGTTGGTGAATGCCGGTGAATTCCACTGAGCGAGTGTCAGTTCTCGTGCAAGTGATCGAAGCCTTGCAGCGGCATCCGTTCTTGACAATGGTATAGCTACACAAGGGGCGTCGTCATGAGCAGTTTGGGCTGCTTCATCTGCACGGTCGTTTCCATCAATGCTGCAGTGGCTTGGTATCCATTGATATGCTATGTCATGTTTCTCTATATCCCGGTGATGGAGCAGTCGTATTTCAGCAATTAGCTGTTCGTTTGGTCCATGACGATATGGCGAGGCAATTCCCTGGAGAGCTGCTTTGGAGTCGGAGAATATTGACCATGTCTGTTGCGGTTCTTCAACTAGGAACTCCAGAGCGGCACGAATGGCGGCGAGTTCTGCCGCCGTAGATGATGTCAGATGCGAGGTCCTGAACTTTATCATGATGGATTTCTCCGGAATTACCACTGCGCCTGTTGAACTTGTTGAAGTGACCGACCCATCCGTGTAAATGTGAATGCGTCCACTGTGTTTCTCATGCAGAAACAGTAATGTTTGTTTTAGGGCCAAATTTGACAAATTTTTCTTTTTTTGCACTCCGGGGATGGTTATCACGGCTTCCAGTGGAAGTAGACACCACAATGGTAACGACGGTCTTGCTGCGTGCGTGAAGTTCGTGGGAATCACCGTGCGATTTGGGGCAATAATAGAGCAGAACGCAGAGCATGGACTGGAAGTTGGAAGGGAGGCAAGGTGATGCGATTGAATCTGGGTGGCATGTCTTATGTGCGTTCTTAAAGCATCGACACGAATGTAGGTTGTGATAGGGTGTTCATGAGCTATTGCGACAGTCGCTGCTGAGGATGCGCATCTCGGCAGCCCGAGGCATATTCTCAGTGCTTGAGCTTGTAATGACTGGAGGACGTGAACGTTTGTTATGCGGGCCTTGCCAAGCAGAGGTAGGCTGTAGCGCATGAAGCCAAGAAAAAGTGCAGCATACAGTTGAAGCATGGCTCGTACCGATGCACCCCATGATTTTCCCGCAAGAAACCTTAGGACGTGGGTGATCATGGTCAGTTTCTTTTTCATGTAAGTGATATGAGGGCTCCAAGACAAATCACGATCTATTATTACTCCCAGGAAACGGTGAGTCTTTTGATAGCTGATTGTGTGTCCATTAATTCTGATGCGGTATGGCGTCATTGTCTTGCGCGTAAACGCAACTAGTGAGCATTTCTCATATGACAGCTCCAGTCCTCGTCCTTGAAGGTAGTTTGACGTCAGTGTAGCCGCTGTCTGAAGCCTGGCTCGTACGTGTAGACGCGTGACCCCTGATGCCCAGATGCAGATGTCGTCCGCGTATATCGACAGATGTACGGAGTGTGGCAGGACGTCAATGAGGCCGGTGAGCGCAAGGTTGAAAAGTATGGGGCTTAGGACCCCACCTTGAGGTACGCCGCGATAAGTATGATGTTGCCTTGTTGCGCCATCTTCTGTCTGAACGAAGAAGGTTCTGTCTTTCAAATAGCTGTAGATCCATTGGTAAACGCGGCCTCCCAATCCAATGCTTCCCAAGGCGTCCAGGATGGTTTCATGTAATACATTGTCGTATGCAGCCTTAATATCCAAGAAAAGTGCCGCTGATAATCTCTTTAGGCTCTTCTGCTGTTGTACAGACGTGACAAGATCAACAACATTGTCTATGGAAGATCGTCCACGTCGAAAGCCGGTCAAAGCATCGGGGTATATATTGTTATGTTCCAAGTACCACTCCAGGTGAGTCAGCACCATTATCTCCATCACCTTTCCAAAACAGCTGGCAAGCGCGATGGGGCGATAGGAGGCCATGTCCAGAGGCGATTTGCCTGGTTTGAGCAGGGGCACAAGGCGGCTGCACTTCCACGAAGGAGGAACCAAACCGTTGCTCCACGAGTCATTGTATACAGCTAGAAGGGCACGCCGAGCTGTTCGTCCTAGGTTAGCAAGGGCCATGTAAGTGACTCCATCGGGTCCAGGCGATGACGAGCGCTTGCATGCTGCCAATGCTGCCTGAAGCTCCTCTAGGGAAAACATATTGTCCATCCGAGTGTCTCTGGACACCGGCGCGTTTCGTAGGTTACTCATGTTGATCCCAGACCCCTTGTTTGCAACCCTGGCACAGAAGTCTTCCGCTACATCGATTTCACGCCGGCCTTGGTGGAGAGCAAGGCATTTGAACGGACAATTCTGTTGTGGCAATGTTCGTAGGCCGCGGATTATTCTCCTTATTTGCGAAAGAGGTTTGTGGGGATCGAGCGACTCGCATAGCGACTTCCATCGTTGCGACTGTAGTGCATTGATTCGACGTTGAATCTTCTTTTGTAGACGTCTCGCTTCCCTCAAGGCATCACGCTTGTTGATAACACTTCTGATATTACAAAGCAAAAAACAACAGTCAGGGTTAGAGGTATTACAACTTGTGTTAGCATCTAGCTACAGTGGAGAAGATGGGCCTCTGATGACAGGATCGTCGCGATTAGGAGGATTTGAGGGGTCAAGTGAGTCCGTTTCTATTTCGCACACGCGATCTGAAGATGCGCAGTAGGTGTATATTTTATTGCTACTATGTGCTATGTGCTGAAAGTACTATGTGGATGCAATCTCGCGTAACTACACCTGTTGGTTTATGCCAACATTCGTATTGGCTGTCATCCCAATTATTAGGGGGCTTTTAACATTCTTTTATCGTCAATTTTGCCGAAACTTCTACACGCTACACTGTTTTATTGATCATTTAAAGCCGACAGTTTACACTTCGTATAGTTCCAGTGTTGACAATTGGCTCTCTGCCTCTGTACACAAAACTTCCAATTTGATAGCCATCATTTTTTCAGCAATAAATCATTAAGTTGTCCTAATGGAACCTCGCTGCCGTTTATATCAAATGTCATGGGTCACTTTTCAAATTTTTCACGAACTTCCTCAACGATTTTCAATAGATTATCAATGAACTTTCAAGGCGATCAGCTAACATGGCTCAATGAGCTCTCAGTAATTTTTCGAATAATAATATTAGTAGCGGTCATTTGCGTAGAACACTGCGAATCCGTAAAAATCAATATAGTCAGAACCACACTTCCACCCCTCGGGCATTACACACTCGCAATGCGAGTGTCTGGATATGCGCCGATGGAGCACTTTATAGTGTACAGTTCTGATAATTGACCTATAGGTTCTGAATTTGGCAGTAAAAATTTGTTTCACCTCAAATTTGATGCAATGGATAGAGTAGCAACAAATTGCAATGTCGTACAAAGTCTAAAAGTACTATGTGGATGCAATCTCGCGTAACTACACCTGTTGGTTTACGCCAACATTCTTATTGGCTGTCATCCCAACGCAAAGTAAACTGAGAGCGCAGCCCATATACCAGCTTTCTAGTGATCTCTGTCGAGACAGTGCGCGTGAACACGCCCTTGTGATCGAAGTTCACAGTTGCTGTTTCAGCGATGCTTTTCGCCCCCTTCCGCACTCTCACGCTCCTTCACCTGACGAACAGTGGGTGGGGCGTTTCTTTTTTGGTTGGGGGACAGTTCACAGCAATCTCCGTCGCACGCAAGGTATCACATGCGCCCTTTGTTGCCGATCATTTCATATCTGCGACAGCTGCGTTAATCTCCATCACACGCACACGAGTGCTTTTAAAGTGCGGATAACACATAATGCGTGGGATGACGCTATTGATATGAACTTTTAGTGAACATGACAGCGATGACATAGACCAAAAATCTGGGAGGGTGTCCATGCATTTGCGATCACCTTTTTGTAAGGGTTACTTAATATTACACTGCCAAATTTGCAATACTTCGAGAGACACTTCCTATATATTTTTGGACATTACAGCACTTTGAACACATGCGCCCGAATACGTCTTGAAACTAGGAGGTAGAAGAGTTCTGGTCGCAGGACTTCCTTGTGAGCTTGACTTCAAAAATTGAAAAGAAGTTATTTATTAGTTACTTTTTTACCAAACTGCACAACATCATGCCACACAGGTTCTTTCGTTAGGAAGTACAGATTTTTGAATAATAATCTTACGACAATAGGTCTCTTTTCATTTCGGTAAATGAGCTACGTACCGGCAGAGAAACTTTTTCGCACAGAAAAGCCTCTGCTGTGCCTAAGTGCCAAAGGCTCATTTATGGACTTTAACTATGTTGAATTACACTTCAGAGTTGTAGGGCATCACAATTTGTCGCCAATCACTTTTTTGTTCAGCCAAATATACACGTATTTGTAGGCATTGATAGAAATTTTAAGAGCTAAATTGTAGCGATTCACGTCGTTGTGTGCATTAAACATGGCCACTATGGTACGTCAGACTGGCACTACATGTGACAAGGATGCGTTCTTTGTATTTTCAATAAATAGGACGCTTAATGCTCGTTCGAAATAGTGGTGGTTTGCGAGTAGCTGCCGAGTCAAAGACACCGACGACGAATCATACAAGTGAAGAGAAGTGCAGTAACGTTGAAATCTAGGCAAGTTGGTGATAGTTCATGTTTACTTATGAAGAAAAGCAAGAGACAAGGCACAAAAAATACGGCGTCCCTTTCGTTATTTTTGTGCATTCTCTCCGTGCGCTGCTTCGTTGTCATAACAAGACACCTCGATGTCTGACATCTCGCTGTCAAAACATTGCGCAGCTTCACTGGTCTTCTCTCTTCACAAGGAGTTGCAATAGCTTTCATTGTTTTATTTTCGTGTTTTACGCATGGCCATTGTTTCTACCTGTAGCAACACAAGTTTTGCTCCTTGAGCGCATAAGTGAAAATGCGATTTCAAGAATGAAGTGCAAAGGTTGTGTAGAACCACTGTGCAACATTGTAAGAAGGAAGAAAAATGTGTGTTAGGGCTTACGTTCCCAAACAATAATATGAGAGATGATTTAGCAGAGGGCACCAGAAATTTCGATCACCCGAGATTCTTTGATGAAAACGCTAATGCCAGCCTACATAGGGCCTCAAGCACTCACGCTTTCATCAAAAATGCAGCCTCCACGGCAGGAGTTTGATCGCACGATCTTCTGGTCCGCTGTAAAGCACTCTAACCACTAAACCATGGGGTCGGTCAAGAAACAAACTAGCAGGCCAAGCCCGCATACGACAAGCCTCCATTGACCAATTTTTGACAGGGGAAGTCTTTCTCGCTTACCTTGTAATTCTTCCAGTCAATGTTGAGCTCCGAGGCGACACTTGTTTCGGGAACGTCCAATTCAACGTCAACAAAATGCTTAAAAAAATAGAATGGTCAACAAGTCACATGGTAATCTGTTTTTATGCTGTTTGTATCACGAATATTACTGGTGTGGCCTATGAATACACAGCAGACTTTTGAAAAGTTTGATTTATACATCACTGGTAATCCCGGACTTTGATGTGTCCTCGGGAGTGTCCGAAGTTCTCTAAAAGTTTAGTTAGGTTTGGCAAAATTAAGGTGACGATTCTTTTCAAACTGTAGGACATCGATCGATGAAAGGAGTCTATAGGATAGCACAATAATGACGCGTGCGATGCAGCCCTGCCAAAGAAGTCTCACAGCATTACGTTCCTCCACGTTTTTGCGGTCTAGGACACAGGTGAATCACTGTACTCAGTGGCATTGGTCTTCAATACACCTGGTGCCCCAGAGCGTGTAGAGAAGGGGGGCTTTGAAGTTCGCCGGTAACATGCGTATCTGCGCCTCACTTTTCAATAAGTGGGGCTTCTATCGTGGGATCGTCGGTGATCAGTCATTTCCGATATGGCAATCTTGTTTTATCGAGGTGGCTTTTCAATTCGCGTTTCCTCAGTCACGTTTCCAGAGCGGGCACAGAAGCAATAAGAAAAACATTGCTACGTTACTTAGGCCCGGCTTGGACTCTTCAGCGACACGGTGAGCTCGAGCCCCAAGCGTCATCATGTCCAGCGCGAAAATTGTTATTTAATTTTTCTCCATCAGCTCTACAACCATACTATACACCAGAACACAGTGAGCTCGGCGCGTGCTGCCATATTGAAAGCGCGCAGCGCCATCCGTTGCAAGTGCGGCGAAACAACACCTATGCACTGCCACGCGATCAGACGCTCCTCAAATCAAACGCGAATTAACACAACCCGAGTCGGGCTGTAAGGATGTGTCGCGCTCTTCCTTTCCTGGAACTTTGTGCTGATTTTGTGCGGAACGTCGAGAAGACCTTCGATGGTCCGAAATCTCTGCAGCACGTGAACTGCAGACTTCAGAAGCAACTTCATCGGATACGTACTATTGTGATTGAAGAAACGCGAACAGCTGAAAGCGTTGCTTTTGACCCAGTTTCACTGTGGCGTGCCTTGACTGAGCAGAATTTATGCTGTAAGTCGGCGGTATAATCTTGCTCCAACCTACGCTCATCCACTGCATGTGTTTATCATTTGCCACTCGTGCCGAGCACTCGCAACACACACGCGTTGCGAAAGTGCCAACTAGGACAAGATTTTAAAATGCTATGGTGACGCCCACCAAAAGCACAGATTCGCCTAGTGAGTCAAGACATGCCGCAGTTCGACTGAGTCAAAAGCTATGCTTTTTGCGCCATTCACGTCTCTTTGCATCGCTAAAGTACACCGTTACGTATACATGAGTGGTGCTTGCATCCACGCGTGAGCCTTAATAATATCCTATGAATGGCATGCAGCCTGCGTGAAAGCATCACAATGATTTGTTGCCGCATACCACGCAAAACGCTGCTGTAAAGCGGAACAGCGGGCGTCACGCTTGAGTGAACGCAATAATTGTATTTACTCGTACACCTTTACTGGACTCGTAGTTTTTCTTGCCGGTTGCGATTATGTCCACTAGAGGCAGAGCTCGGCATTTTTAGTTGCGAATGGAAATCTCGTATCAGGATTCACCACACCGGCACGCTTTTCGCCCTTCAAGCGGTGGTGCGGAGAAGGTCGCTTCTGAAATTACGCTCTCCATGCAATATTAACGGCCAGAAATAAACCCGCTGATGCGTGATCTTGGAGGCCATGACAAACAACTAGACAGCTGTATTCTACAATAAAGATGAGAAATTGACTCTGTTGTCCTCTAAATTTGCTGTAATGGAAGTTGTCTTTGTCCGACCAATTTGAGAAACTTGTGCGAGCGGCATGGTCAGTCAGAAATGGTACGGCTGCTGTGGCTTGGTAACCTTTTTGCTCAGTGGCTGCTCTTCGCCGCTTTTGGAGCCGTAATACGCCACGTTGGTGGTACCAGCGTGCCTTGCACAGTTTTCGGTTATACTATCTTTAACGTCATGCAAACACGGTGTTGTTCGGTTGGGCTCTGGTGTCATATTAACCCTGTTTTTGTTTTTTGCTTAATTGATGTTATGGCCCGATTTGCCAAGTAATTAAACTATCAGACCCGCAACAGGAGCGTTCAAGAACATGGAGGCATCATTACTTCGACATGCCTGAAAAATCACGAAAACGGAACTTTAAACCAACTCGCTTCTATATTAACAGTGAACTAAATAGTGCATTGAGTTCAGAATGCCGTCATGATCACCTAAGTCAAAGGCCACAGCACTACACACCACAGGCATGTAAAAAACAAGCCTTCTAGCACTCGTTTCCCGGCCTCTCGGTATCGCTTGCGCTGGTCCCGATGTCATCAGGGGGCGCTATTTGTACCATGACAAGCACCTGTTTGTGTGCTAGCAGGTCAGCCCGCTCCCTGTTCTTCATTGCCCTTCCAGAACAAGTATTCCGCGAGGAGGACAGACAATCCATTGAACGAAGCGTAGCGAAGGGAAAAATTAGCCCCGTATCTGCATGTAATCTGCAAATGTCGTCGAAAGAGAACAGTCTTGCGTGTGGAGAGAGGAAACAAAATATTTATTTGCTGTTCTGCGCAAGAAATTCGATGAATGGTATTCCGGAGACGCCCGTTAGAGTGCCTCGAGCGTGCAGCGGAGGCGAATGAGCACATCAAGTCACGTCACACGTGAGACATGAGCGCCATCTGGCAGTTTTATTTGGAAAACAAAGCGCGTGGCCCTGAGACGGGCGTGCGCGCGCGTTTCAGAGGTGATAAGGTGTAGAACGCAAGGCGGCGGGTTGGTGCCACCACTGTGTCGTCTTAGCAAAGCGTTGAAAACATTCGCTTCTTCGTGCAAGCATTGCATGGTCAACGCAGCGTGATAAGCGCTACGGTCCTTAGAATTACTTATGTATGCATTTGCGAGTAAAATAACATGCAGAATATATACGTGCTGTTATGGTGCCTCAGATATGCGCAATAAGTGTTTTTAATTGACAATCGCACACGTATGAACGCTGATGCTTTAGCAACATTCGTGGGCACTGCGGATGGGGTCGGCCGTTCGTAGTATTGACTGGTGCTATTCAGAGTACCCGGTTCGCGGTAACAGTGAACAAACAGACAAATGCACAGACAGACAGACCAAAGTTTTTGCGTCGAAGGTCTTCAAGAAAGACTACGAGTGAGGGCGCAATTTTTTCCCTACATCGTGAGGTAAAGGGTGTCCTCACGGCGCAGTACGCGACGCTGGGCATGTAGGCGAAGGTGGTGCACTCAATGGCTCGACCTCCCTCGATGCTGCACTCACTACACCGCATTCGCAGCACAATAGAACTTAAAGCTCGACCTTCTTACAGTCACCACACTGATGATAGATTTCTGCGCATGAAGGCACTATGTGATCACCACTTAAAAAAATAGCTTTTGCAGCGTTTCTTTCAAAAAAAAAAAGAACGTTGTGCTACAAAAATCTGGAACAACTTTTTCCTTTGCTCATATCGCTCATATCTCATTCATTTTGCGCCGATAACACAAAGCACACGCATACATATAACTGAGATAGCAGTTTTCAACGCTTCGTCAATGGCATGGCACAGTTCGCTTCGTCATATAGGCATGGCTAAGTTCTAAGGTTGAATAGAAGAGGCGGTACATCATAGGCTGAAGGCATTTAAGATGGCATGTTCTAAGGTGCACAGGAATAGGTGGTACATCGTATGCTCAAGGCATTTAAAATGCCATGTTGAAAACACACAATGTTAGGAAAGCTGTGTTTCGACCTTGTTCAAACAAATTCATCCTAACTATTTTTGCGTAAGCACACAGAAGCCAAGAAGACACATTCGGCCTATAGTTTCCACATCTTCGCGTTTCTCTGTCTCTGTGCGCTTGCGCAAAAACAACTACGACAAATCACATCACCATTTTGAAACATGGCATGACAGTTAACAGAGCTTCCAGTTTGGCAGAGTGCTGTCCTTACAATATTATATCTGCTTATACCACTCAGACACTAACGCAATTCACATGAAGAAAATTTTGAGCAGCACTAGATACTGACGGAGAAACGTACCTGTGTCCAGTCATAAAAAAGGCCTTCTGGATTATAGTGCTGCTTAACGTACTTTTCAAAGAACTCGCAGCCTGCATTGGTGAACGAAAAAGAAAGAAATTCATATAAAAGCGTGAAACTATCATATTACTAGCATGATAGCAGAGAAAAAGAAGGTGGCGACAGATATGCAGCTTTCAGGCGCGGAAAAACTTGTAATGTCAACGCGTCTCAGCAGGCAATTATGGCTTGCGCGTGCACAACAAGTGAAAAAAAAGAACAGTAATTGCATTAGCGCAACTATGCACTTCTAGCGTGTTCTTGTGGCCTGCGTCCTCTGCTTAGGTTCAGTAAAGCAAAAGAGCCCCACCCGCGGTGAACCACTTTTTTTAAAATAATTGTCTATCTCTCTCCCTCATATGTATTATATATGCCTCATTGGATGATGTTTCACGCTGTCAGTCTATTGTTGGTTCCAGCGATGTGAGCACGATATCAGCCCTTCAGGCTGTATGCGCTTCAGGCTGTATGTTTTTCAGCAGTGGGGTGCGTTTACGTGTGTAAGTAGTTCCATGTTGAAAAAAATTCGGCATTTCTTTCTGCGACGCTAACATTACAGCCCCGTAATCTGTAGTTTCAAAGATGAGTATAGTGATTTTTTTACTAGTGCCAGTCGCTTTGATGAAATGAAGAACATAATGCGGAGGTTAGAGACTAAACACGTTGCAATGCAACGTCAAAAAAAAACTTAGATATCGAACAATGCTAAACATTTTCCCATGAAGCGAAATTCCTGTTATTATGGCAGCTGCCAATATTTCATTCGTGCGCTCAATCGCAACGTATCGTTTCTACGAAAGAGGCTTACGTTCTCTACGAAACTATGTAAAAACTTACCAGGGTAAGGAAGCTTGAAAATAGTGAAGTCTTGATATCTCTTCGACCTGTCGACTTTCTCCGATGAGGTAATCCTGTGGCAAAGCAATATTTCATTTCTACTGGTTACGGTAGATAAGGAGCGTTGCATAAACTTGTAGGAATCTCGTAGGACACTTGAAGATGAGCCGTCAGGTGTGGAATACAATGACACAATTTGGCCCCGTTCTAGTTCATTTTCAGGTTTGCTTACTGGCGGCAAACTTAACCGTGTCGCGCAAAATTGAACATTTTTAAAGCAATATTTACCACCGGCAACACTCTCAGAAAGAATACAGTAAATAGAGTGGCGAAGTGCTTACTTTGTCATGATTCATCGTGTGATTTAGCCAAATACCCACTTTGTGTTCGTAAGACAGTAGGTGCACCTACACAGCTCCATTCTATGCTGATAATGATCATTTATTCCTGAGCGCTTTAAAATGGGTCAGCCTTTGAACCACCCACTCGTTGCGCAATTCACATGGTGCGATTCTTGTACCCTTCTACGCTTCTACCGCTCATTATTGCTTGTGATATTGTGACTGCTTGCACTGCATGGGTACTGTGAAGTTTTTTTTTTATTAAGACAGTTTCAAGAACAGGCCTGGCCAATATAAGATACGAGGTCATACTGAATGCCCAGTTTTTCTTTGCAACGTCATGGTATCCAGATCTGAAAGTATTAATTTGATTGTTTTTGTAGTGTTCGCTTAAGAATATAACAAAGCGGTACCCAAATAATAAATAAAAGAATAATAAGTAGTTGAATTTTCCCACAAGCTCGAGTTTACATCTAAGCAAAAATGCTCTGTCATTTGCCGTGACTTCGCAAGAGGATTACACGTATTCAGCTTAAAGAAAAAAGTGTTTGGGGCTGGAGACTCGCACATTTTATTTTATAAACTAGAGTTCATACAACAGTCAACAAACAATTTACAAAAGCAGCTCAACGTAGTGGCATTAGGAAAGAGACAATACCAACACTCTTACATCAAATATTTGTGGCTCAAACTAAATAGGTGACCATAAATCTTGTTTGCAGAACACGTACAGTGTCGGGTACCTTTTTTTAAACCTACAGAGCAACAATTATCAGCAAGGGAACACACTGGCCTGTATAGTTTTTGACGAGCAATACATCCAGATTGAAATCATGAACTTCCACAGTCAAGAAAGCACTTTTAATGAGCAAGTGAAAATTGATGGCATATGTGAACGTTTCAGACACTTTAGACTGATTTTGTGCTTTTAATTTGCGTTAAAACCTGAATGATGGTTGATATGTGGGGTTTAACAACCCAAAACCACCATATGATTATGAGAGACGCCGTAGTGGAGGGCTCCGGAAATTTCCACCGCATGGGGTTCTTTAACCTGCGCCGAAATCTGAGCACACGGACCTACAGCATTTCCGCCTCCATCGGAAATGCAGCCGCCGCAGCCGGGATCTGAACCCACGACCTGCGGGTCAGCAGCCGAGTAACTTAGCCACTAAGCCACAATGGCGTGGTTAAAATATGAATGATTATGAATATGTTTCGATATGGAACGCAAGTGTCGGAATTTCTTTGCCTGTAATAAAAGAGCTAATGCATGACGCTGTGGTAGAACACCTGACTGTGATGTACAATGTCTGGGTTCAGCTACACCTCAAAGCGCCGATTTTTGTATCAATCGCTTCTACAGCGAAATCTTATGAGAACTCGGGTCACGCGCAGTTGTCCGCCGCCCGTGTCCGTAACCACATCGTGGAAAATCATAAAAAACCTAGCAATAATGACACAGTGGGGCTCGAACCCGAGATCGCAGGGTCCCAGCCCGGTATTTTACCATTGAGTAGCCTGGTGCTTGGGACTTGTCGGCAACTTTGCCTTTATCCAGGCTTGATGTCGGGAAAGCAGTCGTGTTAATACGACTTATGAAGAGTTTTTAAACAGCGAAAGAATAAGCAGTCGTAGCACAATGAATAGCAAAAGGAGTGGGTCGTACAATGCTCCAACCCATTACAAAAGCTTGTTTTTGTTCAGCTATTAACTGTGGCTTATACCTACTTCAGGCATAATTGGTTATCGCTGTCAGCCACTGCATGAACAATTGGCACAAAACTTTTTGCAAGTGTTTTTCGTATACTACGCTTCTCAGTAGAATGACGAAAAATAGCGTAGCGAACGCCGGCCTACTCCCCAAAAATTTTATTGTTAATGCCCTAGTTGTTATCAAGCAAGTAGGCTTACCGTAGTTGCCCAGTGAGTTTTGAAAAGCTCTGAAACACCGCTCTTGTAGCTTTCGCTGTGAATGTGCTGCGCCTTACACGCAGGCCTGGTGTTATGTTTTTTTTTTATTTATGAACAATACCCGTTTTTCGTTCACAAACAACGCCACTGACCTGATTTTGACGAAACGGACTCTTCAGCGCTTTTGCATTAAAAATCAATCATGATGGAGAGCTATTTGAATACACTAGATTGATTGATATGTGGATTTTAGCGTCCCAAAACCACCATATATATATGAGAGACGTCGTAGAGGAGGGCTCCGGAAATTTCGACAAGCTGGGGTTCTTTACTAACACCCAAATCTGAGCTCACGGGCCTACAGTATGTTGCCTCTATCAAAAATGCAGCAGCCGCAACCGCAATTCGATCCCGTGACCTGCCGGTCAGCAGCCGAGTATACTTAGCCACTGGACCACCACGGCAGGGATTTAAAACATCTTAGAATTTTACTTCCTCTATCAAAGGAACGTGACCGAAAATGTTTACTGCAGAAGGTCGTGCGTCACGTAATATTTCTATAGTAAACTGTCGTCAATACATATGCAACCTTCATATAATTAGCTATGCATAAGAACCGATTTGATATACGCATAATTGCAGGGGAGCAAAAGATGATATAATTGTGGCTACGATTGCACTTTGCAGTCCCCACACTTATTAGCAAAGCTGTACAATTTAAGTTTGTTGAAAATTGTAACGAACTTGGTACTCAAAGGTCAAATATTAGTTTTAAAAACTAATAGTATTTTTCAATTTGGTGCTGGTGTCATGCCAAAGAAAAACACAATCGTGTGAGGCAAGAATCTGCACACTTACTTGATACCGCATTTTTTCTTTTTGCCTTCAACCATGAAGTCGCAAATTTGGTCCACTGACAACAGCCTCAGGAGCTCTATGTCTTCCTTTCGGAGTTCATCGTGCAGGGAAGCATCACTGTGGGAATGCGTACAGTACAGGTTCATTTGAAAATTTCGCTATTACAACGCCAGCTCGAAAGCGTCAGTCAAACCAAGAGTCTCCAAGTTGAGAAACAACCCTTCTAAGATAAGTTACATTGATGGTATGAACAGAAGAACCGAAGAAAAGACTTTCATGGTAGCCTAAAAACATGAATGCAATATCCATTTTGTGAAACCATTAATTTTGACCTAGAAAATGGTAAATTTGCAAGCAGGGGCCACTTAAGCTTTACGGGAACCGAACATGCCTTCAAATATGGCTGGTTCTCGTACCAATGGTATTACTAGTCAGAGAGATTAGGAGGAATATCAGGTTTTTTAGGGTATTGACATCAGGTTCCCTACGCTGCACTGGTGTGTGTCTATGGGAGGGTGGGGGGTGGGGGTGGGGATTAGTAAAGAAAAAACATCAGGGCTCACACGGGAACATTGCATTGATTACATGGTTCAGAAAGTCCGGTCAATCGCAATAAGTGCAGGAGTGCTACCAGAGCCTTCGGCAACATTGTGTCCCGTCGACGGAATAGTACTTTCTTCGACAGAGTTCAGTCATGCAACTTGTTGAGTTCGTTGCAAAGGAACAGTCATGCGTTGTACTGAGAGTGGTAGCAAAATATATGTCTAATTGTCACTTCACTGCTGCATTGGTCCCACGTTGCGGTGTATGCTATACCAAGGCAGAACGCATAGAGGCTTTGTGAAACGCGACGCTGAACCCAAGTCTACGCAAAGCGATGAAGTATACGCTACTTGAATTTAATTGTAACCAAACTTGGTTTATGGCTTCTCAGGTTCAGGTGTTCCGTAGTACGGATCCGTGATTGTACGCACGAATGGATTATTTCTATTTCTCGTACAATAGAAGCAAAGTGTGCTATTGAAGTGCCACTAAAAATCAGTTTTTTTGGAAGCCAGGTATTGTGATGGTAATATTCTCTTGAGTAAAAAATTATGAAGAAGTCAGAGGTCTTGGGCTGAGAATAAAAAAAAGTGGTAATTGATTCACAGTGCGCCTTTACCGCTTCGCCACAAAATGTGCGCGGTCGGTCTCCTAGTATAGAGGCTACGTTATGGCGGGGAGTTCGACTAAGATGTCTCATGACTCATGAGTGTCTGTGAACCTTCTACTAGAATGTTGGTCGTTAAAGGTGGTCTCTAAAGACGGTTTTAGTCGCCCCTATTATGCATTCTTAGGAAACACAAAAGATGTTGTGCTGAGGCCTGGACACTTTCTACATTCTGTAGGATGGAATTGTTTTTATTTGTTAATACATGTAAGATGCACCATAGGAATTATAGAAAAATCCTGCATAGTTGCAATATAGCAGTTGTAGTCATTCCCGGTGTTTCTCCAGCGAATGACTTGAAGAAATTAGATACCTGTCAACCACTTTTATGTATAACATCAGGGCTCTATGAGATGTCTGGCCGCTATATAGCCTAGGGGCTTGTACGATTTAATGTAAGGCATTATATGGTCCTTTATTGTTTCATTGTAGCTATATTGGTTTGCGAGAAAATTCCCCAAAGGCGCATTTGTCAGAGGAAATATCTACATCTCTAACGTAGGTAAATAACAGATTGTGTGGCAACTCTGAATACGCACTCGCCACTGTAGGCGCATAACAGCAAACGTCCAACTGCAAATGTTGCCAGTCTTACAGGCAGGTGCACACGCACAGCCGGTAAAAGCAGGTTAAATCGCACTGGGCTCAGTACGCCACCCTCGAGATTACCGCAGTAGCTGTAACGTAGAGAAGTTTGGCAGTCATCAGTGCTAATAAATAAAAAAAAACACCTAGGGAGCTTCATAGCCCTGGAACATCCGACTATCCGCTCCTGCTTCTCTGAGAGCGGCGAAGATAGCTTCATGAGTGATGTCATATGCGCGAGAGTCGTTTCTTTGGAGGTATACCATAAATCCTGGTGAGTGGGAACGTTCCGTTGAACTGTAGCATCAATCACATGGCTCCAATACTGGAGCCTGGGAAGCCATCATTGGAGATAATTACATCGTAGTGCCCGATAGCACTGGCCAGTTGAGTGTGCAGAGTGATGGAGAGGACGATACTTGTACGTTCAGAATTGTACTTAGAGCGTCAGAACAACTGAACGGTTGCTATTAATTAATTTAGACATGATCGCTCATCGACTGACAGCGTCGTCGATCTGGTCACCTGCGTACAACATGAAATATGCAGTAAACAACTCTGCACTACATGTCAAATGCGATGTCATACTTACTGGGTAATTTGAAAACTGTTATTGAGAGACTCCATTTATATAGCACTTTCACCGGTGTACCTTACGGTGTGCCTTCCTCAACACACTGGTTGAAGGAAGAGCGTTCATGATAAATCCACCAGCACGAAAATGACGTGTGAAGACTCGAAGCGCAGAGCACTATTTTGACGAAGCGGCCTCACTAGTACGACCACGTAATCGATTTCGATGGTGCTTTTGTCGTAGCTACGAAGGCATATTCATGAATGGGGGTTTTTCTTCAATTGTGGCACAGCAAGAACACCTTCTACAGCTTTAAATGCTCACTGGGCAGTTTACCAAATCTACGCGCATGACCTTCACGACACGATGTACAGAAAGAACCTAAAAGTAAGAACGACGCAACTTCCGCGGCCATTGTAGGTAAACCCCAAGGGAATCGAGGGCACTCTCCCATTTTGAGACTCGCTTCCCAGCTTGCGTGAGTGCTAGACCTGAAAGGCTAGAGCGTCGGGAATATGGCCGCCATGGTTTCGCTGCCAGGCCTCCTTGACTGGCGCAAGCCGCGTGTTGGTTTTGCCTTCGTGGAGACACGTGCCTGAACTGCCCGTACAATACTTTCCCCATGCGTGACGGTAGAACACGTCACGGTGCGCCGCCAATTTTCATTGGCTGCCCGTGACTGCCCCTCTCCCAGTAGCTCGCGTTGGTCAAACGCTCGTCCGATGCCTGGTGGATGCTCGCACGCCGCAACGGAGAAAGTCATGCTCTGCCTTTGCGGGAAATTTCTCGTTTTCGCGCCCGGGAGGTTTTCTTTTGTGTAGTAGGCGCGGTTATGCAGTAGAGTGCACTCTGTCGGTCCTGCGGAGTTTTCCTGCCAACCTACAAGCTAGTGATGGTCGCAGCTTGCTGTATCTTGGTTAAGTAAATCCGTCTTTATTGACGACCTGTCTACAGTGCCAGCTGTGTGCTGTATCGGAGAGTCGGCGCACTCGGCCGTAGCGTCTTTGTGCGCAACGTCAGTGGAGAACACCACAATCCTTTCCAGTCGCTTTTAGCGAAACGCCATCTCCACAATCATAAAGGAGTGACCCAGCCAGTTTCGAAATGACTGAGGCATTTTAAAAGAACACTAAATAGAAACATGGCTCACTGTATTAGGAAACTGATATTTCACAATTGGAAAATCATCACACTTGCCTTGACAAGATGGTAAGCTAGAAAACGAGCAGAAAAAAAATGCCGGTGGCGACGCTTATTTCAAGTTCTACCAAACGCCATGACGTCGCAGTTTTTCACGGCGTCTACGGGGTGCTGTGCGGCTGAAATTGCTACAAATGAATAATTGGTATGTGGTGTTTAACGTACTCAAACCACCATATATGATTATGAGAGACACCGCAGTGGAGGGCTCCGGAAAATTTGACCACCTGGGGTTCTTCAACGTGCACCCAAATCTGAGCACACGGGCCTACAGCATTTTCGCATCCATTGAAAATTCTACCGCAGCAGCCGGAATTCAATGTCGCGTTCTGCGGGTCAGCAGCCGAGTACCTTAGACCCTAGACCACCTCTACAAACGAAGTAGGTTGTGTATTGAGAGGCCATAGACGTATCGTTTCAAGTTTCATGGCACTTAGTGGAGCAATGCCACCCAGTCACAGCGAAAACATGAACAGCGACCTTCAGAGCTTTTTCTAAACACTGAGTAAATGCTAGAAGCGGACTTGTTGGGTACCCACTACGCCATAAATAATAAATATTTTTGCATAGTAGGCAGGCGTACAATATGCTATCCTTCATCATTTTTGGACAAGCGTGGTATTCGCTAAACACTTGTAATGAATGTTGTGTTGCATTGAGTGTGACGACGATAAGGAATTTTGAATCATGTGGGTATGTGCCACAGCTTTACAGGTAATGCTGTTCTAAAACGCTTTATTACTCATATTAACGCGATTTATTTCCCGACACCAAGCCTGTCTAAGGCAAGCTTGCGAACTGAGTCCCAAGCACCGGCGTCGCTCAGCTCTAGAATACTGGGCTCACGCGCAAAAAATCGGGTTCGAATGTCAAGTTGTCACCACATGTCTTTGGTCTCCTTAATTTGAGTTTTACAGTGAAAGCTTTTATGAGATCAGAACATGGGTCATGCGTGGCGCCGTAGCCTTCCGCTATCGCCGATGTACGTAACCAGTATCGAGCGAAAAAAAAAACTGGGTAAAAAAACACCTATGGCACCCGGGTCCACTGCGTGCCTGCCCAGTATTCTACCAATGAGTCACGCCAGTGCTTGAAATTCAGTAAATAAATAACACCAATGACACAATTGGATTCGACCAGAGTCCGCTGCGTGCCAGCTCAGTATTCTACCACTGAGCGACGCCAGCACTTGGAACTCATTTGTAAACTGGCCTTAGGCAGGCTTGATGTCGGTAAAGGAATCGTGTTAGTGCGAGTGATAAAGCCCTTTAGAACATCAAAGGAACAGCCAGGCGTCCCACAACGCGAATTGCGTAACGCCTTGATTATCCAATGCTCCAACTCAATAGAAACATTGTTTTTGATTACCTAATACAGCAGCGCATACACACTTCCCACATTTTCTAATCGTCGTCAGCCGATGGATAAATAAATTACACAAAATTTCCAATGAGTGTTTAGCGGATATAATGCTTCTCCAAAGAGCTACGAAGGACAGCATAGTGAATGCTGGCCTACTACACAAAATGTATTAATATTTATGGCACAGTGCGCACCTTAGCAGTCTGCTTGTATTAGCATCACAAAGAGTGCATAGAAAAGGCTCTAAAACGCTGCTCTTCTAACTTTCGCAGCGACTATGCTGCACGTACCATGCATGCCTGGCGTTTTTTTTTTTTTTTTTTTTACAACGAAAGCTGTTACGAGACTAAATCTCGGGTCACTCACGGTGCCATAGTTGTCCACCGCCACCGTCACCACTGGTGTCCGACACCACTATCGCAAAATAAGAAATCGAAACTACCAATGAGCCATTGGTATTCTACCAATGAGCCACGCTGGCGCTTGGGGCATGTTCGCAAACTTGCCTTATGCAGGCTTGATGTTGGGAAAGTAATCGCGTCAATATAAGTAATGAAGCGCTTTAGAACAGAAAACACCAACCATGCGTCACACAATCTGAATAGCGTAACGAGTAGGTTGTCCAATTTTACAACCTAATACAGAAGCTTATTTTTGATCACCTATTAACTACGGTCCATATCCTCTTCAGGCATAATTCCTCATCGTCCTCAGTCACTGCATGAACAATTAGCACATTGATCAATTGATCGATTGACTGAATGATAAGTGAGGTTTAACGACAGAAAACCTCCTATGATTATGAAAGACGCCGTTGTGAAGGGCTGCGGAAATTTTGACCACCCAGGGCTCTTCAACGTGTACCCAAATCTGAGCACACAGGCCTCCAGCATTTTTGATACCACCAAAATTGCAGCCGCTGCAGCCGGAATTCTACCACGTGACCTCCGGGTCAGCAGCCGAGTACCTTAGCCACTAGACCACCAGGATGGGGCTGAAAACTCGGCACGAAATTCCCTGAAATTGTTTAGCGGATACAACGCTTCTCAGAAGCATGACGAAAAGTAGCATAGCGAATGCTGGGGTACTACCCACTGGTGGCGGCGGACAACTACGGCACTGCGCGTGACCCGTGTTGTGATGTCATAACTGCTCTCGCGGTAAAAACACCTTGATATTTTTGAATTCGAAGACATGAGCAGGAAATCTGACATCGACGAAACTGATATTCATTTTATTCTCTGCTAGTAGCTCCTTGATGAGAAAATTAACGACATTAGAGTTGTCAAAGCACCATTTACCTATCTAAACTGATTCCTTAGCCTCAGTGTCACCTTAAACTGTCAACATTACTGCCCCCATTAGCTTTTTTCGTAGCCAGGGGAAGGTTAAACATCAAAGCCCGGCGAATGATTTCGGCAAAATAGTTTACGTTTGATAGCATGTAGCAAGATCACTTGTAAGGGATTCGCAAACGGTGACGGTAAAATGTTAGACGCAGGGTGCTTCTTACTCTTCAGGCAAATGTGAAGTGTCGGCATCTCCTGGCAGTTCTTCATATTCCTCTCGCAGCCTGGATGTCGAAGGACGACCGTAGCATTGAGGATCGACTGAAAGGCAAAATGTCTCTTATTAGAGATTGGTGAGTGGTAATGAATTTTAAACAGTTGTCGTTAGTGACATGCTGGAAATCACGGTTTTGTGAGTCTGCAGATTGATCGGTATGGGTCATGGTAGTGAATCATCGAAAAGATCGCATTTCAAAACGGCAAATTTAGTAAAGAATTACGCTTCATGATTTATTGTATATTCTGCTAGTGAATATTGTATATTCTGCTATTGTATATTCTGCTAGTGTATATTCTGCTAGTATATTCTGCTATGCCCAGTGCTTTTCCTATGTTTTCTCTAAAAATGGCTCATCTGAATGAACTTCACAATAGTGAATACTTCAGATGATGAAATTTCCATGAACTGCGTATTCGGGCTCATTTTTGAAATCATTGAAGTTTCGCGGTTGTAGAACTGGCATAGATAATGCGTGCCACCCGCATATCACCGATTCATCAGTGGCAGTGCCACATCGCTTAAGCTGGGCTACATTCACACGTAATTCTGCTGCGCAGGAGACAAAGAACGACAGGCCTGAGCGGTACGCGCAGGAGAGCCACAGCCAAAGCTTGAAGAGGGGCCTTTTAGGGCCTTTTCAAAACACTCATTGGGTAACAACTGCAAGCCCACTTGCTTGGTACCCACTAGGGCACTAATAATAAACTTTTGTGTGGTGGGCCGGCATTTGCTATGCTTTTTTCGTCATTCTTCTGAGAAGCATGTTATCCACTGAAATTTTGTGCCAATTGTCCATGCAGTGGCGAACGACGGTGAGGAAATATGGCTTAAGTGGGTATGCGCCACAGTTATTAGGGGAACACGAACAAGCTTTTGTGATGGTTTGGAGCATTGGACGGCCCACTCGTTACGCTATTTGCATTGTGCGACGACTGGTTGCTTTTTGTTGTTGTAAAGCACTTCGCGTGTTAACGCGATTGCTTTATCCGACATCAAGCCTGCCTAAGGCAAGTTTGAAAACAAGTCACAAGCACCGATGTGGCTCAGTGGTAGAATACTCGGCTGGCACCCAGCGTACTCGGGTTCGATCCCTACTGTGCGCTTGGTGCTAGGTCATCCCTGCCTACGGCAAGTTTGACAACAAGTATCAAGCACCGGCGTAACTCAGTGGTAGAATATATTGGGTCGGCATTCAGCGGACCCGGGTTCAAGCCCAACTATTTCATTAATGCAAGGTCTTTTTTTCTAATTTCGCGCGATGTGGTTACAGACACCGGTGGCGGCGGCGGCAGACAACTACAAGTGCATGTGACCCAAAAAATGATGTCATAACAGCGTTCGCTGTAAAACAAGCCACGTCCACCTCCAGTACTTGTGCCAATCTGGGAGACATTGTTTACAGTGTTCGCCCAAACCCAAAAAATAACAGTGCGACAAAGAAGTCATAATGACAAACAGGTTCAAACCAGTATCTGCAGTGAAAAATATAGGATATATTACTAATTAACGAGACTAGGTGTCACAGCAACAAGCTGTGCCAGAGGCAGTGCACAGAAATCTGCTCTCTGGTAATTTGTACTTTCTCGGGCTGTAAGGGTAGCAACCGAAATTAAAATAGAAGAACTTTGTTCTGAATAATATACCTCGCGTACTTTTCAGCTGAATTCTGCTGCGTCCAACGCTGTTCCATTATTCAGTGTAGCGCGCTTTCATTTAGGGGAACTAGATATTTGTGTGCCTAAAGTTCACTGAAGTGAGAGTTCAGGGTATGTTTCAAACTAAAGAAACGGGAAGTCTGGCAGATCAAGGAACACGTGCTTTGTTTGTGTGTTCGTATTTCAACATATTCCAACATAAAGTGCCGAATAAGAGTATGAAAAATTTGCGAGAGCAGAAAGCTTGCTCATTCAGGATGAATTAGGTTTTCATCGTAGTCCCAATAACAGATACTTTAAAACATATGGCTCATAGCGTGGTAGGTTTTCCTCCGAGCCCAGTTTTCTTCGCACACGCAGTTTACAGCTCATCCGTATTCATTTAAATGCATAGGCGCAACCGCTATTGTTCGAAGGGTCCACATTCATTTAAACTATAAATGCAGCGTGAAGGTTGAAAGCGATGTTATTTCGGAGCAGGTGAACACACAACAGCGCAGACATACCCAATAATTACGTGTAAAACTAACATAATGCGATAACGGTGAGTCCTACTGTTTAAAACGATGCTGTGAGTGTCAAGCTCTTGTATTGCTATATAACTTGCTTGTCACGCTGCAGCACACCACGACAAATGTCTTTATGTACACTATGCACAATAAGCTAAGGAACACATGCTCTACATGCTACTCAAAATGTGCGGCATGTGCCTATAGAGTGAAAGACAGTGACCACTGGAAATAACAAGTTGAAAAAGTGGTCCGAGTGTTACCTCTATGTCCACAATGAAAAGAACTTGACCTGCCAATATATACATTAGACGTTTTCTGAAGCTGCAGGTAATCTGGATCAATTGCAAAATCTTCTTAAAAAATATTACCACACCAAGTTCTGAAGGCACCACACCAAGACTTAAGCATTACGAGTTATAGGCTTCTGAAAGCAGGTCTAATTCGTCTTTTCTTCTCTCGCACGATAACATTACAAAATTAACAGTGAGTTTACTGAAATGTATTCTCGAACTCATTAAATCAGGTGATCATTGCATTCTCACAATTCGCTTTCTATACTGTTGAACTGCCCCCAAATTCGGACTGATCGGCGCAGCAGTCAACAGAAAACCCGATTGCTTCCAACATGCCGCGTCACTGGCTGTACTGCTGAGTGTAAAAGATACACGGCCAAGGCCCCGTAAGCATCAGCAACCCCCAAACACCGGTGGCTAGGCATTGCATGAAGCTGTGGTAAAATGTACGCACAGGCAGTGTCAAGATTGATCACCCATTATGAGAGAGAGGTGGCCAAGTCCGCCATTGTTGTGCTAGTAGTGGTATCGACTGAATTTAGAAATGAGGTGCTGTTGGTCTTGTTTACAACTTCACAATATTACCGTTTCGTCTCTATGCCAGAGCTTGCCCTTCTGTCTGTTTTAAGGTCTGGATTTCACATTACAAAACCAAGAAACCAAGTTGTTAAAGTGTTTAAGTGACTAACTACTCTAACGTAGGCGAAGTTCCACTAGTTATTTCGAGAATAAGCAGCGCTGCACTATAGTCTGGAAAATCTGCCTCTTTTCCTCGAAGTATAAATTTACACAGGTATATCTAGGTTGACAGCTACGGAGGTTCGGCCTTCAGTAGATTCATTCCAGTACGTTAGGTTTTCCGCTTATATCACATAAAAGAATAATAATGAAATGCAAAGTTTCATAGGAAGATAACAATGCATAGTTAATATGACGTTTACAAGCAACGCACGCTTGAGAGAGGCTAATGATTTGAGGACATTAAAACAAGGCTTTGCGTCTATGTACGTAGGCAGGATAGTTACACTAATAATTTCTTGGATTTTGAGTCTAAAAGTGTACATTTTGGGGCTTGCAAGCAGTCACTCTTCATTCATTAGACATGCGAGATGTACGGCACGCAAAGCCACAGAGCCGTCCACGGCGAATACGTCAAAATACAGTCCCCGAATCGATTTACTTGTTTTACAATCAACTACCTCTATATGCGACCACCGTTGTGGAGAATTGAACCTGTGTCCTCGAACTTAGCAGGGCGACACGTTACTGGCATGCTTACAGCCACAGCTGGTCACAGGTGCAGCAATGTAACCACGTAAGCAACATTCAGCAGCGTTGCACTACAGCGTGACTTCCTTTTTATTATGACGTGCCTATGAGAACGTTGGTTCTTGATGTCTTCCATTCATATGCACACGCAAATACCGTAAGCTGCAACTAGTACGGCTAGTCACCGGAAGAATAAACATACATACTTCTGTTTTGTCCTTTGCAATCGTTTCGTTCCTGACGCACCGTCAGTAATTATCCGTATCTTTAGACAATATGTTGAATGGGCTCACATCCGAGATTACGTGCTGATCAGGAAATATCAATAGGGAAAGTGTTCCAGACTAACAGTAACTTTGCAGATGCTACGCATTGCGCTGGTGCCATAAAGCGTGTAGCCAATTTCGAAGTGGCTTGAATATTTAGGTAGAACTCTTAGGCACACACGTTACCACTGTGACACCGAGGCTCCTCAGTGACGTTCTGTTCATATTCAAAAAAATTAGCCAAATCAAACATTGATTGTATTACCATCTTTCGAGCAATTATCTTTCAATTTCCAACCAAATTTTCGCGATACTTTTCTGGGTTGAAAAGCTTGCTTTGTCAATAAGTGGTCTTACGGTTTTTCGCGCGTCGATATCATGCTTAGGTCGCGAATTTCCACTCAACAGGAGCGGAACTGATCCAGCGAGCTTGTGTATGAAAGTATCTTGAACATAGTCCCAGAGACGTTGGTGCCTAAGCGTTGCTTGCGCTTAAACCCGATTATCTTCCAAAAAGATGCATTTTAACGTTATTTTTCTTTCAATTTAAAAATAGATGCACACATGTCCTAGTGATCAAAAGCAGTATCAGGCAACAGTATTTTGCCGAAGTGAAAAACTAACTTTACCATTTAAATTAATGAATCATAAATACAGGAATCAGCTAAGAGATTATAATTTAGTTTGGCCAGTTCAGGAACATGTGGGCGATCCATATGAAGAACATCAAGGACGAAAGATGTGAGTGCAAGTCTCACTTCAGCTGTGAAATTTCTGACAAGTAGAGTGATCCGATGCTTAAATAATGAGTGGTACAGTGACAATTGTCTCTTGGAATATAGAAATATATTTCCAACAAATTTTCAGTTCACCATGAGAATGTAACTGCATCAGCGTTCTGTCAAAATTAAAAACCGCCAATCTCACTTTAGAAACACTGGCTCCACTTTTGAAAGACCACATAACAGTGCTAAAGCAAAAGTCTTACCTAGTCCTGAAGAAATGCAGAATTGGGAAAATCGACATCGTGACGGACCTGTTGAAAAGGATAGTTATTTTGAATGTCAAACGAAATAATTCAAATTACCCACACAAGCGCAGATACTACGGAATGGAATAAGTACAGCTTGCTTTTTTACGACTACCCTACAATTATTGAAATAAGAAATAAGTGACAACCACAGTCACACATCCAAGAATTGTGAGAAGGAACGACATTTCGCTAACACAATCTCCTCGAATAGAAACTAAACAGTGAGATGCGACTCATTATTGGCGAAAGTTGCACACAGACATGGTAACAGACAAATGTAATGAAGTCATGAGATCATACCGCAGAGGTAATCCACCAGAGTTCGGGTGTACATTTCGATTCCCCCAGAAAGCGTTGCTGACCTGCATATGTGCTGGTGACAAAACAAAATACGCAGTTGTGCGAAGTACATTGATAACAGAAGTATAGAGGAGAGAACAAAGTCGGGTAATATTGTCTCGAATATCCACTTACGTATCAAAACCAGTCAGCAAGCACAAAACTGTCGGTGAATTGTTTTTATAAGCCACAGCGTAATAATTTAGCGCATTGAAGTTCACTATTCACTAGACCCTCAAGCAGTCATCGATAAGCTTATTTCATAAGATCTGCCAGCAGTTGTACCTGCCACAAAAAGTGCGCCATGTTGGTTGACAGGACCTCAATGGTCTCCACAAATTCATACGTTATTCTAATGGTGGCTGCTGCAGCATCAGCCAAGTGATAACGGCGAGATCGAAATTCAATCGAAGACTTGTCGTTAGTGGATTGGGCTTTGATTTGAGGGTCCTACCAAAGAGAAAGAGTTCCAGCTTTAAAGCATTACTGCAAGCATTGGTGGTCCGCAACCACTTGTTTTATGAGATGTTAACTTCTTTGCGCAGGAAAAAAGGGGGACATGTTGCTGTTTTTTCCGGTGTGCCGTGCGACTGAAAATTAGTAAGAGAATGACCATGAAAATGATTCATTTCCTGTCTATGCTAATGTTAGTTGTCGAGCAGTTGACCGAAAATTCTCAGCTGTGTTGCAGTGTTTTCATTGTCGATTGCCCCCTCGTTGCCCTGCTGCTCACATTTGCATCGTGTTACATTGTACTACAGACTTTTTGTTCTAGAATGTATTATAACAATTGCAAGAGTAGAATTTTTTGGCGATATTGTTTGTCATTCAGAAAATATACTAATGACAACTTACACATTCCAAAGATAGAGGTGAGTATTGTTCAGAGAAGGTACATTTCGCAAAAGGAAGTAAACATGTAGTAATACATTTTTAAGCATCATTTCGCATTAGCATGCGATTTGGCTCTCAATCATTTCATCGAAATCATGAACGTGGATAAATATGTATGGGGCACGTTGGTTAAGCACCTATAAAATAAATTGTTCACTGAGCAATCCAGAAACCCCACCTGCAGATGCTATAACCATTATGTGACGTGTACATGACAGCGAGCCATACCTTTCCATCGTATAATATGACGGGAACGACAAATCGGGTGCGTGCTCTGGCAACTCGCGACTTCTTCATGTGCATGCGAAGTTCTTGTGCATCTTCTTGATGACCGTTCCTAAAAAAAGGACACCATCAGAGTGAAATAACCACTAGCATATTCATAGGGTAGATTATATTCTGCAAATATTCCCATATAATTAATGGTAATCTACCTCTAACCTTCAAGAGGAAGGTAAACACAGCTGCTTTTTGTCAGTTCTTACCTATTGCATCCATTTGTAAATTAAACATTGTGTATGTAATGTTCATATAACAACGTTGTCGATTTGTGTATGATAGTACGGTCCATGGATGCGTTGGTTACTCGACCATGTGCGAGCAAGCTTCTCTAACATGATTCATTTTCTGGATATGTCGGTTGATTTTCTAAATTCTCGCTACGATGTTCGCACATCTCACATAAGGCCAACGACAAGGGCAGCCAAAAGCTTTTCATGCTTTATATATATGCGCACTGTCTTTCGTAGATTTGAGTGTATTAGTGAATTATGCATTCTAATATGAAGAACAAGGTACAGTGCAAATATCTCACAATGAAGAAAGAATTTGTAGCAGCTAAGATGTGACAGTTCATGCAACACAACCACACTTTACGTATAAATGGCCTTGACCACAACTAGCAAATACGCGGTGGAAATCAAAAACCTTTCAACATAGTCACCTTCTTTCAAAAGCACTGCTGCTGCACTTGTGGGTACAGTGATAAAAAAGGATTACCGCATTCCTTCAGCACTAAACCATTAGAGTTGCTGACTGACTAGCAAAAGTAGTTAAGGTATTGACAAAAACGACTTTCACTGTACTGTACAACTTGGTTGTGCGTCAGGATTCTAAACTAATGATCTTGAACACATCTTGTAAGACCACTTTTAATAGATCGCTAGGACACACGCTACCCACCAAGCAGTCACAATATTTCGTACAGTTACTTAACACCTGTGGACTGCGACATTGAATTTAATTGCTAGCTTTCATGACTAAAAGTTAGCATAATTGTTAAACCGTCGTGCAAGCTTGTTGAACCAAACTGGGTAGAGTGCATTTTTAATACAGCGCAGAAAATTTCTTCCTGCATCTACTGTTCATTTCGTATGGCTTAATGGCACATAAGCATTTAAATCTATATTGCGCCAAACATCATGTATAACTTGTTAAAAATTGGGTGTGCTCAGTGTGTTCTCTTCTGAGAAAGCACAGCACCAGTCTCTGCTGATTAGAATAACAACCTCTGTCCTCTTTCTAAAAATCAAAGTAGACAATCTAAGCAACAATACATAGCTAAGTACACAGTGAGCTCAAACGTTTTCTATTAGTTCGGCTTCCCTAAAACAAACAGCAAGCATATCCACGAAGCACAAGTGAACGAAGGGACAATGCACCACGCAACATACCGTGAATCATCCGTGAAATTAATGTGTTTAATAGGTGTTTCCGTGCTATTGCAGCTTCGGGAGCTATCCGCTCGGGGTCGGACTGGCGACGGTGTCCTAAGAGGCACTGCATGGTGCGCCTTACTAGAGTGTACTAAAACTGCGCACTGTACCCTTACGTTCGCTTCCTTCCAAAACGGCGGAACGAGTGCGGGAACCGCGTGCTTGTACGAGTGACTTCTGGTGGCATTGTGCTCTAACACAGTTGATCAATCCGATTGCTTTTCTTGTGGTGCCTCAGAGATGGCGCACCTGCGCAAAATCTGCTGTAGATGCCGGACGGCAGTTTATGAACAGAGGGACATTGTGTGGTATTAAGGTGCTTCGCCCCTAAAAGTTTAGAAACCGTGATGCATTCATGAGTGCATCTTTCCTAAAATTAGTGCTTGGTGAATTGGTACGCGTTTGCTGTAGAATGCGGTTAAAACTTTTCTCTGTTTCAAGTTCTAGACAAAATATTGGTATTTGCACATGCTGCGCATTTGGGGTTGTCTTGTAGGGTATGTGCACCCTGTGCTGCAGGAGCTGGCATAGTAGCACTTCCTTAACACGATCTTCATATCTGCAAGAGTATTTCTTTGACTCTGGTTTGTTATTAGAGTCATTCTTCCACACAGACTAACTTTTCTATAGTTTACTATTTGCTAAATCACGCGGTGTTGAGGGGGTAAATTTATTTTCTCTATTTTTCGTGACAAGCTTGTGCAACATCTCCGTTGTAAATACCACGGACTACAACGTTGTCCTGATTCCGGCATAAATTTATATTCTGTCCTCGTGTAGTGGCATTTATTACATTGTGTATAATGTATCACAGTAGTGAGGTTGCTGTGTTTCTTGAGCAAATGCATTTAAGGAATTTCTGCATATAATTTTGTTTCGAAAGCTTCCCTGTAATATGGTATTGCGGCTACACGAATAGCGTAATATTCGGCAAAGCATATCAATGCACACTGAGGAAGACAGTGTTCTTCCCGGTCTCCTTGTACCACTCTATTTCCGACACACAGACGATCTTTTTCAGACCATTGTTATGAAAGCTCGCGAGGCCGCTGTATTTTTCCTCCAGTGAAAAAAAAATCTGAATCATGTGTTCTGATGGGGTTCATGTTTTACGGGACTGTGTTAATGCGAGGTCATAGGCTGAGAGAACGCGGAGCCATGAGGGGGTGAAGGATAATGTGTGCGGGCCAGGCCAGGTAGCATCTCCCACATGCGAAGGTTCTCGCAACTAACTTCAAAACGTGAGAGCAGAGGACAAGTGCTTTGTGGTTTGTTGAACTGTTTCTTTTAAAGAACAGCTTGTTACTAGAGCACATCAGATGCATCTGGCTATGAACCTTACCTTCATTATATGCGCACTGGTAAGAACAGATGTACTTCGCCATCACCATCACCCCACTGCAGGGCAGAAGCATCTCCCATGATCCGCAAATCAACCCGGTCTTACGTTTTTTTTTCTGTCACGTTAAACCTGCGAACTTTTAAATCTAATCGGCCTACCAGATTTTGTCTCCCCTTCGCGCGTTTGCCTTTTCTGGGAATCCAGTCAGCTACCCTTAATGACCAGCGGTTATCCTGTCTTCGTGGCACGCACCCGGGCCATGTCAATTTGGTCTTCTTGATTTCAACTACGCTATACTTAACCACGGTTTCTTTTCTGACCCACTCTGCTCCCTTTTTTTTTCTCTTAACATTCCACCTATGATTTTTCTTTCCATCGCTCACTGCGTACGTCATCCTCAATTTAAGCTGAACCATCTTTGTAAGCCTCCAGGTTTCTGCTCCGTAGGTAAGTACCGGCATGATGCAGCTCTTATATACTTTCCTCTTGAAGGTTAGTAGCCAATTAGAATTCATAATTTGAGAATGCTTGCCTTTTGTGATGAACCCCACCCTCGTACTTTCTAACAAAGTTTCTTTTTATATAACTGCTAGATGCAGGAGATGTTCTGTATGACCCACATCTCAAATGCCGTTCTGAATTGTGCATTGGGTCTAGCTTTTATTTAGGATGATCCTCGCGTAAAAGACGTCAATATAGCGGTACTGTGAGCGTATACGATAAAAAACATTCGAAGTGCGACAGGTGGCACGAAGCATTAGCTTGCACTGATTTTGCATTGACGGAGTACTGTGATGCCGTCTATGACTTTTGCTACAATCAATATAATGCTTTAAGAAGAAGGAAACTGCCAAAGCTTCATTACAAAGCAGTTATTGCAGATTTTGTATGTTAGGAATAAATTATTTACACAATTATTCGCTGTATTTTTTTTTCTTATCAATATTTAGGTTATGCCTCAAACAGGTTTCAAACAAACATTCTTTAAAATCTCCTGTACATTTAGGACTACAATCAGACAGAATTTTCTAACACTTTTCTTCAAGGTATAAAATTTTGGAGGGCTTGACAGCGTGCTCTTTGAAATAAAAATGCACGCGATTCAAATGTAGCTTCATTACTATGAAACCTCCCGAATCGCGTAGTGCGGTCACGCAGTGATTCCTGCTCGTAGAGTACCTTCCGCTCCGCTTACCACACCGTCGGTGACGGCAGTGCTTGAGGTAAGCATATAGGGTTTCCCCGGCCCCGGTATATTCTTGTTAGGAAAATTCGAAACTGTGTCAAATATGTGCACTACTTTCTGATGCGTTTTATCGGCTTCCTGTTTTTACGGCAGTTTACACCTTATGTCTTCCCCACAGTCATTACAGGCTTATTCCTATTTTAGATGCAGCAATCAAGCGGTGAACAAGTGGATGTGCGAGGAGCTAACGTGTTTTTAGCGACCCTAAATTTATCCTACTACTTTTTTATTACTTCTGTTATCTATACATTCGAGACCTTACTTGTTATTTCAGGTCTATTTTGATCTATAATAGCCTTGTCATGGTCTGTGTCGAGCGTTTTACTGCAAGCATGTTTATGCCACATGAGAAGCAGATATGGACGACTTGCCTTGCCTCAAGGGGCTCCGCAGAGAAACAGTGGCGTCTACTATCTCATAGGTGGCTATTTCCTGCCAATATATAGTAACTATGTAGTAAGTGGAAGTATTAGTTGCTATATTTGTACCTTTACCGTCATGAGTTAGTTACTACCGGCGGGGAAGAAATATTACAAACTAGGAACTTCACAGTCATGAAGCTCAAATAAAAAAGTAAAAGTGTATGGTGTTGTCTTTACACGTCATAATCGTAGTAAATACTACCACAACATCATATTAAGATATATGCTAGATGCATGAAAAAAACACAATTCGTAAAACGCAAACATATCCACGCAGATAATATTGAGGCGTCTACGAGAGAAATATTCGAACTGTAAAGATAAGTTTACATACATGACCCACTGTGGAGTAGCCCACCTTGTACAGGTGAGCAAACTATGAACGAGGATTTAGGTTTGATGTTTTATACCTGAAGTTTTATACCTTACAATAACATATCATTGTGGCCCGAACTAGAACAATTTTGAATTCATCGTATTCGGGAAATCAGTTTGCCAAAATTTCTTCGTAATACTTCCACCATGACAACCTCGGTAGTCGGTCAAGATAGTAACGTTTAATGATACGTCACGTATGTGTGTACGAATCTTAGTAGCTCTGATTCGCGAAGAAATCGCGACAAAGTTTACAACCTCTCATAAATTTCTGCAGAAGGCGACATTATTATTATGTGGCATTCTACGCATCAAAACCACAGTATTATTACGAGGCAAGTCAAGAACAGGACGTTAGCAAGACGTTGTAAACTTGTTAAGGGGTAGCAAACACCGCAATTTCTACTTTTGTACTACCTTTTTGTTTTATGTGCAGGCAAGTCGTGACAAAAGTTTATGCTCTGCCAGTGCCAACCTACTCTGACACCGCCGCTGTAACTCGTGCACATATATTACTTCGAAATCTTTGAGTGACTAAATGCACTTTTGTGGCAGCCCTGCTGGGCATTCCGCAAGAGAAATTGCAATATAAATCAAATGAGATGAGCGAACCTTATCAGTGAACGATCGCAGGTAAAACAAGAATTCAAGCTATATGCACACTCCCATGTTCGAGTACATGAAGGAGGTAGGGTGCGGAAAAAGATCCTTGAAAACTGATATTTTGACCAGTCAAAGTTTACCGGCGCCTTGTAACAGTGAGAATAATTATGACTAAGGACGATATGAATATGAGGGATGGCGCAGTGAAAAACTGCGGAAATTTCAACCAGCTTCAGTTCCTTAGCGTGTATGTAGCTAAATCTAAGCACTTGAGTTGTGAAGAAAATGGAGTTCACTTCTGAAAAACATGAACCTTTTAATCGTTGACGTCAGTTTACGTGGCTCATGGGACCGGACTTCTTATAGCGACTGAGGCTAACGAAAACGCCGTAGTGAAAGGCTCCGAATATTTTTCCCACCCAGTGTTCTTAAAAATGCATTGACATTGCGCAGGGCATCTGCTTAGTAGCATTTCGCCTTAAATTATATGTGACTACTGAAGCCAGGACTGCCCCCTCCCCCATATTTCGGGTCACAAGCCGGGCAATGTAAACATTGGGCTATGCCCCATGGTAATTGCCTGAAGTATTGGTTTTCATAGGAGCAATTCTTAGGGCTAGTTAGGCATGAGAATGTTAGGTAAATAACTGAGAATTTCACCTTAAATTTTCATTTTTATGTTTAGGAGCTGTCATGTTGCTACGAACATGACAGCTTATGACAATATTACATGACAATATTATGAACTGGAACGTATTAACAGAAAGGCTGTAAGGTTTATTTTTGGCAAATATTGTAGGTTTGATTCCCCGACCACCTTAATGCAATTAAACGACATTTCTACTTTAGAGGCTCGGAGAAAGTTCAGTCGTCTTTCCTTTCTTTACAATTGTTTGTGTGGTATTGTAAAAATTGATCTCCCTGACTGTGTTAAACCGCTCTCAGTACGACGTACTCGTCATGATCATGAACATGCTCTAACCCCAATTTTTGCTCGATCAAATGCTTTTAAATATAGTTTTTTTCCTAGAACTGTCGATGACTGGAATTGTTTGCCGTGTGACATCTTTCATTCTAATAAGTTTCTTGGTGACCTTGAGCGTCACCTTCTTTCTTAACCTTTTGTTTCTTTTGTATTGTTGTCTGTTTTCTTCAATTACGTTTTGATGTATCCACTCCTGCTTGGGCCAGCACATTGGCCTGCAGTATTGCGAAATAAATAAATAAAGCCACTGAATTATGAAGATATGGATTATATTTCTGGAGACGTTCGGCAAGGTCTAAACAACACGAATGAGATCTTTCCTTTAACACCATTTGATATGTGGACGGGCCTAAGCAGATCATCAATGTCTGATGCTTCTGACTACGGGCCCAGAGACACCTCGTGCAAAAAAAACAAACAAAAACTGAAGACATAAGAAAATGACAACTTGCCCGCCATCCCAATTGCCATCACTATGAGCAGGAAGTGCCAGGGACACTATCTTGTTGGGATACGTGGCGCTGAGCTCCCCCCGATCATTGTCTATGATCTGTGCACAGAAAAAAAATCATCGATGATTACGGTACCACGCAATTTGAATTTCGAGCGCAGATGTTTAGGCGTTTTAGTTTCATAACTTCAGACACAACATTTCAAATAGAAATGTATTTGCGAGTGGTTTCTGTTGTATTTTACCTGTTATTGTATCATTGCCCTCCTTTTTCAATGCCCGACAGGGACTACAGTTTCTTCCAAACAAATAAAAATGTGGGTACTATCGGCATCAAATGAAACGCGAACAGCGGAGCGCGAGGCACAAGCCTTATCAATGGCATAGTGCGCGCCGTCCACCAGTCATTTACACAGTAAGGCCCGCACATCTGGTGTGGCAGCACTGCGCGATCCCCCTATAGTGCAGCATTTCTGCTTGTGTTCCAGGTATGGGATTTGAAAGGAACAAAAAAACAGACATTAAGCTATTGCAGTCAAAGGCTAGTATTGTAGCACGGTTTATCATCACGGAGTCTATCATGAAATTTCTGGCTAATTCTATATATAGTAGACAAAAGTCGGTTCATAATGCTTGCAATTTCACACTGTTTCACTTCGTGCCGGTAAAGCAAAACGTTTCGCGCTCTCTTCCGAACAAACACTCGGCTTCTAAAGTTGAAGTGTTGCGTTTTCGGGTCGGTCTCCGAAAGAAGGGTGCAGGTGAAGCAGCACTGGCGAACGAGATACGACGATCGTTTGAAAATTAACCGCCAACCGATTATATTTATCTTTTCGTTTTATCGTGTCAAGTCACCGATTGCACTGTTATGCTGAAGTAAAAGCAAGAGATTGCGAGTGATACGATCAAAATCCCTTGGCATGCCTACGATGGCCACCATTACCACCATACGAAAACTAGAGCAGAAATGGAGATAACGCACTGTAGGGAGATCGCGCAGTGCTGCCAAACCAGATGTGCACGCCTGTCAATGATGATGACTGGAATGCCAACACTATACTGTTTCTAATGCTTGAAATACGCGCTACGCTGTTCAGGTTTCATTTGACGCCGATAGTACAGTTGAATACCAGTACTTCGCACCATTCTCCCTAAGATGCCGACGTGCTGCAGCTTTTTATTGTAACAAGGGAAGGTTTGTGCTTGGAAAAGTGAGTGAACATATGTTCTACTTGCTGCACCTATGCCTGCCTCTCAATAACGAGGTAAATGCAAGTGTTTCGTGAGGTTCTAACATCAAGGGGAGGAGTTACGATGGAGAAGAACGAGATGTTTTCATGCATGAGTGGCTGCGAGTTTTCGTTTGAAGGTATATTTAGGTATATTTTTAAGTGTATCGCGTTTATTGCATATTCATATCACTAAGGTGATTTCGAAGTAGAAATTGCTCGCAAGTCTAAAGTTAACCGATTTAGGTTGAGAAACGGCTATGTTCTGAAGTTTCGTAAACACTGAATGCGTTAGGAGTTAGCTTGGGCCAGACGTCTAATGCGGCATGACAGGCTACCGAACAAGCTGAAATAAATTATTTCGAAATATTGTATGACAAGAAATGCATTATTCCCATAAATACAAGTGGCTTTGCCAAACATTCTTGTGGAAATTTTATCGGTATGATTCTTTTAGTGACTACTCATGATTCAACACTCAGATGATGCCTATCGCTTACTCCTTCAGGCATGTCGTTAATGTAAAGACTAATGTTGTGTTTTTTCGCATCTATTACGTATTCGCATTGTGATATAAAATCTGTGTACTGATTAAGAATGGAAAATTCGGTAGTTTTATTGCGTACCTTTTAAACGATGACTTTTTTAAACAGGAAAGCGCGGCTATCTGCACGATAATAGGTGCCTAAACTAGCATATAGAGGAAAATGTACTTGCCTTTACTATGTAGTCTTTGTTGAAGAGTTTCACGCATTTCTCTTGGATGTCGTCGAAAATTTGAACCTTGAATAACAAAACAATAGATTTGTTATGAAGATAGATACTCACACCACAAGCTGATATTTGCATTTTAAAAAAGCAGCGCATGTTAAACCAAGATGAAAACTCGGCCTAAACTTATAAATCATAACCCCACTGGCCAACCCAAAATGAAACTAATAGTTTGTCTTTTTGCGAAAAAAAAACACGGTATGACTAATTACGAACCAGGTCATAGCGAGGGGCTCCAGATTAGTTTTGATCACCTGAGATTCACTTGTATACATCTGCATATAAAACTGGACCGAAATGAAAAATACCTGTAACAATGCTTTTCTCTTCATATTTTGCACTTATTGAAATGTGGCCACCGGGGTCGTTAGCTGAGTGTGTTTCTTCTGCTTAGCAGTCAACAACCTAGACGCTGATCAACAAAGGCTGATCATTATGGAAAATGCACAACAACTTGAAGAAATGGAAATTTTCTACGGTACCATCCGTAATACTTAGCGCTAAAAATTCAAAACAAGAGACAGTCGCAAACACGAATACGCCCAAATTCCCAAGAGACATTAACACCTGAAGCACAGAAAGGGAAAACTATACAGAAGTACGACACGGATACGGCGCTCAATACATCAACCATGAAGAAAAAGACGATGAGTTTTGCCATCGTGTCGGCTCAAGCAGATGCATAAGGGACTATGCTAGTTTTCCAAAATACTCGACAGAGTGAAGCGAAACCAACGCACCCAACGATTCTTGCCGATACACAATATTGCTATCATTAATTAACTCTGGTTATGGGGTATATGGCTGCCGACGCCATTAATCGCATAATCTTTCAGAAACGACATCCTGTAGTATAGTCTCACTTTTATACATGGGACCAAGTTCAAAGATGTTCAATTTTTACTCGTAACAGTGCCACCCTTAAACTCGCCACCTGGTGGCTACTGGCTTAACCACCCCTTGTGTGGTCTGCTCCCTGCATTGTATAGAAAGCACGTCATGCTTGCATTCGAGCATACGACATTCTCAAAAGGGTTTGTTTCGTTGTGCTACCTCAATCTGACGTGTTCGTACAAAGGACTAACACGTTGCAAATAAGCGATTCGCCTTGCACTGTAATAAGATCGGTCAGTGTACTTGGCAAGCGTGATGTGTGACCGTTGATTGACTGATATGTGGGATTTAACGTCCCGAAACCACCATACGATTATGAGAGATTCCGTTGTGGCAGGCTCCGAAAATTTCTAGCACCTGGGGTTCTTTACCGTGCACCCAAATCAGAGCACAAAGGCCTACAACATTTTCACCTCCATAAAATATGGGGGAAATGCCTCGTTTTCACTACTCGGTGGAAAATGCAAACATGGCTATAGGTTATTGTTTTTGAGCCATCAATTTTCGGGGACCCTTGTGCAGCAGTGGAATAGATGAACTCGTTGCAATAACAAATAAATGAAGAGGAACGGGGAACACAACACAGCAGCATAGTATGAAGTACGTGGCATTTATTTAAATAGGTCTCCGCGGACCCCCGTGATTTCACGGAGCTCTATTTGAGAACCACTGCTGCTAGGCATGTACGTTCGCGCTGTGATTAGGGGTAATCGATATGTGAGGTTTAACGTCCCAAAACCACCATATGATTATGAGAGACGCCGTTGTGGAGGGCTCCGGAAATTTCGACCACATGGGGTTCTTTGACATGCACCCAAATCTGAGCACATGGGCCTACAACATTTCCGCCTCCATCGAAAATGCAGCCGCCACAGCCAGGATTTGATCCCGCGGCCTGCGGGTCAGCAGCCGAGTACCTTAGCCACAAGACCACCGCGGTGGGGCTGTGATTAGGGGTATGTTGCATGGCTGCCTAGCGGTTCCATGATATTTAGTTTATTATAAGATGTCATTTGGTTGTCCCACTGCAGAGAAATATTTGTCATGTGAAGCCCCAAACTTTTGCACTAAACTTGTCCCCTAAGAGGAATAATAAAGAAATTACACGGTAGTTATAAAACTGAGTGGACATGCGCAATTTTGGCTATGAACAAAATTTCTACAAAAACATTCGTTGACACAATTTATGACAAGAACGTTTATGCCATGGTAATTTACGTGAAACTCTTTACATTATATTCAGCGTTGATGTAGCATTGTTATAGGTTCACAAAAGACAGCGGAGAACTTACGATTGGGAGCCAAAAATACTTTTCTCCTGTATTATAACGGAACCTTTGTTTCAATACTGTGATGCAGGTAATCAAACGGAGAAAGCAGTGAGCTTAGCTCTTTTTCGTATTGTGTCTGGAAGAATAACAAGAGGGTACGTGCTAAAATGTCTCCGTACCACTAAAGTGCTGCTGCCCCAAAGTTCTCCCGACGAAAGTCACCAACCATCCTACATTTTACGAATATTCAATGAATGAATGAATACATTTTATGAAACGGGTTGTTGAACAAGCAGGAGTTACTCGGCGAATGAGAGATCTATTTAGTGAAAGGGCTGACTCAATGCAAGCCTGCGATCACAGCGCGTCTTCTTTCTCCACACGAGCTTCGTGTCCACTGCCCTCGTTAATATCGCCTTCTGGCAATGGCGGAGCCTACCTGGTGACCTAAGGACAGGTGTGCACAGAGGTGTCATGGTATCGCTTGAGCTGAAAGACGTGTGCGATTTCTCGTCCACGACGACGCTTGTCTGGAGATGCATCGAGTAGCTCTACGAAGTAGTTGACCGGGGATGTTTGGTGTACAGCTTGATAGGGACCATGGTACCTGGACGAAAGCTTGTGGGAGAGTCCTGGAGGAGTAGAAAAAATCCACAGCCACAGCAGCGAGTTAGGAGCAAAGCTCATAGACGTGGCTGACACGTCGTGGCGATGTTTTTGGCGCGTCTGGTCGTGTGACGTGAACGCACGAGTAAGCTTCCGACATTCTTCAACATGTGCTGCTGCTCGTGAAGCGGTTGTCAACTTCGATGGGTCCACTCGATAAAGAAGAATAGTATCCATTGTTGATGATGGCTCGCGTCCGTAAAGAAGAAAGAAAAGCGAAAATTCAGTGGGGCTTTACGTTGGAAAGTTGTAGGCATATGTCATGGAAGGTAGTGTGCAATTTGACTAATCGGGTACAGTTTACATGACCAGCACGTCACCAAGTATAACAATAAATTGCTCTGTCATCCGATTTGTTTGCGGGTGATAGGCTGTGGTAGTGCGGTGTATGACGCGACATTCTTTCAACAATGCTTTGATGGCGCCGGAGAGAAAAACGCGGCCGTGGTCGCTCAAAACCTCCCGAGGTGCTCCATGGTTTAAAGCCAGGTTTTGCAGTATAAAGTATGCAACCTCTTTTGCCGTAGCAGAAGGTAACGCAGCTGTTTGACCGGACAACGTTAGGTGGTCGATAGCGACAGTGACCAAGCGGTTGCTACTCGAGTATAGGGAAGCTGACAGTAAAGGTCGATTCTGACACAATCGAAAGCTCGAGTTGGACGTGGCAACAGCTGCAAGGAACCTGTGGCATGTTGAGCGGGCATCTTGCGTCTCTGGCACGTAAGGCAAGACCTTCCGTAACGGTGAACTAAATGGTACATACCGAAGCTGTAGTACCGCAGCTGCAAGCGAGTGTATGTTTTTAACACACCAGCGTGGCCACATTGCGGATTATCGTGGAACGTGGCGCAGATGTCTAAGCGGAGATGTCGGGGAATGAGGAGAACCCACTTGCGGCCTATCGAGCTGTAGTTTCGGTGGTAAAGCAGGTCTTCTCGAATAGCGAAGTGTTGTGCTTGAGGGCGAAGCGTCCTGGAAACTGGAGCGGGCGTCCAGTTTGAGAGAAAGTCCAAAAGGGAAGAAATCCAAGCATATTTGCGTTGCTCGGAAGGCGTGTCTGAAATGCCGATAGGCAAGGCAGCACTGATGGAGATAAGGGAGCAGACATGCTCTGAAGCCAACGGTGAGCATGACAGGGCATTGGCGTCAGAATTCTTCCGACCAGAACGGTAGATAACACGGGTATCAAATTTATGTATCTGCAATGCCCAATGGAGCCGACCATTACGATGACTTAGTGAAGATAACCACCAAAGCGCATGATGGTCAATCACAGTATCAAACAGATGCACATATCAATAAGGCTGAAAATTTCCGATTGCCCAAATAATGGCGAAGCACCCCTTTTCAGTGACACTAATTCTTCACGGCTTTTGTGAGGGTGCGGCTGGCAATGGCAACGACGTCCTCGTCAAAGCCATCCTTGCGTTGGGCCAGTATGGCCCCTAGCCTGATACCACTAGTGTCTGTACGAAGCTGCGTTGGAGCAGACAGGTCGAAATGCCGGAGTATGGGAGGCGTAGTGAGGAGCAGTCGAACTTCCTGCAATGCATCGTCACACGCCTGCGACCACGCTGACCAATCAGAACTTTCAGAGAGAACATTGGTCAAGGGAGCGATAATAGAGGCGAAATTGCGGACGTAGCGCCGGAAGTATGAACATAAACCGATGAAGCTTCGGAGCTCATTGATGGCGGTTGGTTTTGGGAAAGCCGTGACTGCAATAAGTTCTGTAGCGTCCTGAAGAATGCCCTCCTTAGAAACCACATGCCCAAGGATTAGAAGCTTGCGAGCGCTGAAGTGACATTTCTTCAAGTAAAGTGTAAGTCCCGCCGTGGAAAGGCACGTAAGAACTAGCTCGAGGTAGTTGAGATTTGTCGCAAAGTCACTTGAAAATACCACAATATCGTCCAAATAACAGAGGCACGTCTTCCATTTCAGACCCCGCAGGATGGTATCCATAATCATTTCGAAAGTGGCAGGTACATTCCAGTGGCCAAAGCTCACAACGGTGAATTCATATAGTCCATCCGGTGTTACAAAGGCTGTCTTCGGGCGGTCACCCTCTGCCATGGGTCGGAGCGTAAATCTAACAAAGAAATGAACTGCTTCTTGTAGGCAGTCCAATGCATCATCTTTGCGAAGCAGAAGGTATACGTCTTTGAGCGTTATCTTGTTGAG